ATTTGGCATTTTCAAAGCACCTCGGCACATCTCATCTCAACCACTGCATCGCCCTGAATAATCACAATCAGTCCTTGAGTTGTCCCGGCATGTGAACCCAAGGGTGTGGGCGACAACCCTTCATTTGATTTGCCTTGACGGCAACGACGTCGTTATACTGCAGCAACATTAAATCAATATTTTAGTCGGTGATGTTTATGATGCTGTTTTGGCAGTGGTACACAAGAATAAATTACAGTAACAACAAAAAATACTCAACAACATTAATCAATAACACTGCCTTTGGAAGAAAAAAATATGATAGGCAACGTTTCGTGAAATGGCCCTTCTATTTACTTGGAACGTCGCCTATTATATAAGCATGTGAGTAGTGATAATCGTGGTGAAGGGAGATGGTGGTGGTGGTGGTGGTCGTGGCGGTGGTAGTGGTTTGAATGGTGGTGGCTGTGGTGATGTGACGATAGTCGTGATGGTGGTCTAGGCAGTGTTAGTGATGGTGGAAATGGTATGTATTGTAATGATGGTGATTATAAGTGGTGATGGTAATGAAAAGTAGTGGTTATATGATGGTAGTGGCAATGATTGTATAGTGGTACTGGTAGGAACCTCCTGGTTCCACCAGCCCACAGGGGATTATTGTGTCCGTCCGTCGTGCATCAAAAAATGGGAGGGGTGGGGCTGGGTGAAGAGGGGAGGGTGGAGAGGGGCTGGGTGGGGAGGGTGGGGAGGGGCTGGGTGGGGAGGGGAGGGTGGGGAGGGGCTGGGTGGGGAGGATGGGGAGGGGCTGGGTGGGGAGGGGAGGGTGGGGAGGGGCTGGGTGGGGAGGGGAGGGTGGGGAGGGGCTGGGTGGGGAGGGTGGGGCTGGGTGGGGGGTGGGAGGGGTGGGGCTGGGTGGGGAGGGGAGGGGCTGGTCACCCCGTGGTGCCTTTGTAGAGGTGATACGCGCTGGTATTAAAGATCGTGGGGTAGCGCGTGGTGATTGGCTGTGTGTTGGTGACGCGCGCTGACGGTGAGGGATCGTAGGTCAGCGCGGGGTCATGGGTTATGTGATGGTGATTGGCTGTGTGTCGGTGACGCGCGCTGACAGTGATGGATCGGGTGGCAGCGCGTGGGGATTGGTTATGTGCGCTGGCACAAGGAGAGATCGTGTGGCAGCGCGTGATGATTGGTCGGCTAGGGTGAGTGCTCGCATCGCGGTCCGCATAGGCTCCGTCTCTTTGGAGCGGAGGGTTATATAAGGCGGTGTGCGCGGGCGCTCGGGGAGAAGTTGGTGACCAGTGAAGACGGAAGACGGAGGAGGAAGAGATAGGGCCCTGAGTCACCTCGTCCCGCTGTCCTTGTAAGGACCGGGGCCCTGTGTGGCTCAGAGGCGGGACCTTGGGACCCGGGGGCCGGACGTCCGTGTGAGGGCCGGGCCGCGGGACCCAGTGGTCGTGATCCGTACCCAAGCTGGGGTGGGTCTAGAGGTTCCCCCGGATGCTACGGGGCTGGAATGCACGTGTGTGTGTAGCCGGGTGGAACGTGTAGCGTGAGCAGTAGTTACCACCCGTGTCAGGTGGAAAGTGTAGCGGAGTGGTAGCGACAACACGTGTTACTGTGACAACCCAAGTGTGAATAAAGTGTGCTACCCGTCAAGTGGTTTCCCGCCGTAGTTTACTATACTTCACCTTTATAAAACTCAACGTTTAACCTACTCATGCCGGCTTGTACACCACGCCGCCGTTGACCCTGGCCATTGACCGAGCAACCCAACGTTCCTACCAGCTCCCTCCGCAGGAATGTGTTTTATGTGTCAGCAGAGGTGGGGGTAATAGTGACGTGTGGGCAGTGGGTGACGTGGCCGGCCCAGCGACGCTGATGTCGAATGACCATGGCCTCAATGCTCGTGGTGTTTGTGTGAGAAGACACTGACCCGACTTGAAGGACCTTCCGCAGGCAGCCTTGATGGTACTATTTTCTCTAATGCCTTAGTAAAAGTGTTTACGATTGCCTGAAGATCCGCTTGGGCACACAAGACAGGATCATCAGCATACTGGAGATCAACAACTGCTGTCAGGATGGTCTTAGTTTTCAAAAGAAGTCGGTTGATGTTGAACAGCTTAGCATCCATTCGGTAGTTTAGCTCCACTCCTGCTCGAAGCTTGCCAGTAGTTAGCTGTAGCATCGCGGCGAGGAATATTGAGAAAGTTTTGGGGCGATGACGCAGCCTTGTTTGACTTCAATCTTAACTTCAGTGGTCTAAGATGGGTCCATTACTAATAATCACTGCTCGCATATTGCCATGCAGCAGGCGAAGAATGGTGACACATTTCGGTGGACATCCATTCTCTTGAAGGAACCTCCACAGTGCTTCTCGGTTGACAGAATCAAAGGCTTTCGTGAGGTCAAAGAAGGCCATGGAGAGTGGTCCGTGTTGTTACTGACATTGTTCCTGCAGTTGACGGACAGTGAAGATCATGTCCAGTTGTGCCTCTCGATGGCCCGAAACCACGTTGGGATCTAACGGAGAGTTCTTGCGATGCTCTTTCCTGCAGTGGACAGCAAGGTGATCCCCCTGTTATTTCAACAATTGAATATACCTCCTTTATTAAAAGATGTCACATTCATGGCATCCCTGAGATCATTTGGGATTTCCTCCGATATATCTAAATATTCAAGGTGAGTGCTTGGAACCGTGACGTGAACTCCTTTCCCCCTTGTTTGAAGATTTCAACAGGGATTCCATCAGCTCCAGACGCATAATTGCTCTCCATCTACTCGATGGCGTTCCACGCTTTATCAAGGGTGGGGGGTATTCCAGGCTCGTTTCTGATTGGGCGCTGTGGGATGGAGCGTAAGACGCTGTCATCAGCGGAAGAGTCAGAATTGAGATCTTTAAAATGTTCTTTCCAGCCACCACGTCGTCCGTATAGCCAACCCCAGGCTCCCGAAGCAAGTCTATTACTCCCAGCTTAGTCAGGGTGTGCAATCAGGAGGAGGGCAGAGACAGCGCTTCAAGGGTGTCACGACCAACACGAAGTGCACCATCGATGCCAACTCATGGGAGACTCTCGCATGGAGACACAGACTCTTTCAAGGATCCAAACATTTTAAAATTCAATGGCGGAAACAGAAAAAGTTGGAAACGGTAGAAACAGGACGCTGCAGCCCGACCTACTAATCCAGTTGCACCCACCCACCCTGTGGACACGCGCGCGCGTTTGCCCGAGCTGCGGCAGAATCCGTCAATCCCAGATCGGTCTCTGCAGCCATCTTCGGACCCACAGATAATTCAACTTTTCTATGGCAATCATCCTCGAGGGATTGCCTATGATGATGGTGGTCGTGGTTGTTGGTGGCGGTGACGATGGCTGCGACGATGGCAACATTGGTGGTGCTAACCATAGCAATCGGGCTGAAAGCGTCGATTGTAACGGTAGCGTTGGTGGTAGTTAGTTGCGGTTAAAGACTTACAACACCCACAGCCTTACCTCTCCCGGCTGAGGGAGCTCAAGGTTCTCCAGTTGTCACGACTTGGCCATGCGCTGATGACGTCTCACCTGTCCTCTGCGTTACTGCAGAGCCCTTGGCAGCTGGAGCAGCAGCAGCAGGTTCCCTCGATATCGATCTGTAGACAAAACTGCTCCACTCTGCAGCTATCTGGCGTTGAACGCGTGTACCTAAATACCGTGGTGATTGCTCGGCTCGCCGTGATATTTACCACCGATACGATACCAAATTTAATTTCATGACGATTGTCGCAATATCAGTTTCCCCTAACTTTGTAGTGGCATTTCACGTTTGTGATGTATTGTGCTTTGCAGAAGTAATTTTAACATAAGCCTGTTTTAAGTACTGTCATTCTAATCATTGCAAAATGAATGTTTATAATGTACATACTGTCAGTTACACAAAAATAACTTAAGTTCTATGAAATATTAAAATGATCGCCTACAATCGCCATCCCATAAGTGACTCCAGAAAACATTCTGCAGAGCACTATGAATGTATTGGAGTTATCTGTGGTGGTGCTGCTGCTTTGGCAGTGGTGCACCAAAGCATATTTAAACAAACGCACTCACCACGCTTGTCGGCAACTTGTGTGTGGCCTCAAAGGTAAAATATACAATGGACGTCTTGAGAAATGGCCCTTCTTCATAACACATCATTCACGTGCTCGAAACATCACCCGGTCTATTTGTTTCCCTTTTGTGACGAGGGTTATTTTCCTCCATTATCTTACAACTTCAACGTCGTCCTGCGCCGTTCCCCTTCTGCTGCAATATGCAGTGACGTCGGCTTTAACGAGCGCGATATTGGCCACGTAAAATAAAGATTGATTGTTCATCTCAAAATACATCGTCGGGAAACGAAATATTTGACAAAATATGAAAACGAGCAACGATGAATCAGGATACGACAACGCAGAATTACTTCGCAAAAAGAAAAAAACGTCCGATGCGTCACGGCGGATGATGACATGATAGATCGCATCGCGTGCGGGAGCCCCAATGGCCCGATGGAAATCGCGTCCGTGGTGGGACAAAGTCACGGGGGGACGAGGGCACGGCGGCGTGACACTCCCAGCCTTGAAGCCCGGGCCGCGTTTGTGACAAGTCCCAACTTTTATAGGTAAAAAAATTAACCCGTAAAAACTAAGTTTTTCACTATAAATCCTTTATATGCGTGGCATCGGTTTTATTTTATTATTCATTTCTGTTTTTCTTGAGTAAGAGTTTCATTTTTATCACATTGGTATTTTAAATTAAATATGAAATTTATTTTTTCCTAAAAAGTGGAAAATTTTGGTAATTTTTTTTCACGAAAATAAATTGTCACGCACAACGAGTCTGTGTGCAAAATGTCAGCTCGATTGGATCACGGGAAGTTGGTTAAAAAAACGACCGAAAGATTTGCACGGTCGTAAGCGCGCAAGCAAGCAAGCAAGTGAACTTAATATAAAGGATTTAAAAAAGATGCCGCTACGGAGAGAAGGTTTATGAAGGCACACGAACATCAACACGAGTTTGTTTGTTTTATTTGTTTTTTTACTATGCATAGAATGTTTTCATAAAAATAAGTACACGATCTGTAGATGCAATTTCATTTCAATAGACTTAATAAAAATAACAAAAATAAAGGAAATGTATATGGGCGATATCACGGCAACGGGATTACAAGACCAATGCAAGTGCGATACGCCGCGGGGTCAATGAAGACATTTTACGCGGCGCACCAACACTTTTGAACTCGTCAAAGTCCAAACGTTACATTTTGTGACGAGTGAAGCCTCATTATAACGTTTCCGCTTCGTGCGGTTTCCGTATCCAATCTCCCATTTGTAAAACCCCCCAAAAGTATCCCCCCATTGGCCCAACGACTGCGGTCGAACATTCCCCCATTGAATGTTTCCCCACAAACAGCATTTCATTTGTATGGTCCCCGTGGTTTATTACTGTATTATATTGAGGTTTCACTGTATCTGGTTCTCTGTTGCACGCTATAATTCTGTTACACGTGGAATCGACCATATGGTATTTTGTACATTTTCAGTTTTCAACCAGTTAAAACAAATAAAGCCAATTCAAGGTAAAACGTTTCGGCTTTATGTGAATTTTGTTTGCGGAGTTTGTAAAAAAAAAAATTGGATCAGATTCCAATTTAGCGTCTTCATTTTCCAAACACGTTCATGTACATAACTCCGTTCTCCAGGGTTTTGGAAGGGTGCACCTGCGTTGAGTGAGATAAACCGATAGTGGAACTCCATCCCGTACCACGAACTCGTGCACACCAAAACTACGGTAATTAGTGCTTTGGAAAGGTTCTCCAAATAAGATTTAAATTTTCATAAAAATCAGCCCGTTCTCTCAACAATAATAGGTCACATGTGACAATCTCCGACGCCCTCCACTGGAAACCAATTCATTCAGTCATTTCGTATCCGTCAAACCAACTTAGTCCGACCAAAGACGACCGTTTGTGGGGGGGGGGGGGGCACAGGCAATCCCCCACCAGCCACCCCGCACGGTCTGTAACGGCGCATGAATGATCATCAGAGGTCGCGCACGGCTCCTCTTAACAGACGACGACACGGGAGCGGATGAGCAAAGTCATCGTCTGCTCTTTGCCGATTCAAACGATTGTACACTTCCGTGACAATACCTGGGGCAAATCACGTGCGAGTTCCATACCACAAAGGTAAAGATGGCACTCTGTTTACAACAAGGGTTTGTTTATTGTCAATGCATAACACGAGCTTCCGCCGTTAACGTCCGCCGGGTGCTCTCTGAACGTACACACGTGTCCGCGTGCCTTGCGGACAAGTCACAGGCGCCTCTATACGTCTATAATTACAACTCGCCCCGCAATAATTAGGGCCTCATTTATATTACATGCCCAGCCATCACCCACAAACTGTATATTATGGCATTTTTGCATTAGTGTTAAAATTAAATAGCACACAGGGCCCAAATGTACATCATTCTCCTGTTACTTATGCCATTGGTATCTAAGAGACAAGGGAAACACACAAGAAGTCGCCAGTTTCCGGCAGTCCAGTCAGTAATCTGTGTAATGTCATAACTATAATAACAATAATAATATGAATCTAAGTCCAGTAAAAGAAAGTGCATGGAATGCATGTGGTCAAAAGAAAGCCCTCCATAATTGACACCAAGGAAGAACGATCAGGAGCCAATCTAGCACAAATTAAAGCATTTTAACCATGCAGCCTTAAATGATTACAAAAAAAGACAGTTTCGACTAAACCCATTGTTCACGGCATCTACTATAAAACCCAAACATCTTCCGGTAAAAAAAAAAGCAGCTCGGAATCGGTGTCGGACAAAAACGACCGCTCTTCAATGGGGCAACGCGGCGACAAGGAACGTCGTTTTACCGGCAGCCAGAGCCAATGTGTCCGTGGGTCGAGATGATCCCCAACACTGCATAGAGGGGGCGGCAGTGGCGGTGGGCAGCTCAGACCAGCAGCCCCTGCTGCTACTGCCGCTGCCGCCGCTGTAATTGCTCAGTACCAGAGGGAAATTTGCTTTGAACTAGAATTAGCACTTACGGGCAAGCCACGGACGAATGTTTCGCCATCGGTTGCTTTAAAGAGCACATACGGCTTAGGGTCTAGTGGCTGACGGTCGTTCAGTTTTGCTTGAAGAGGAAATTAGTGTTTTAATGCCATTTGTGCATTTTTTGTTTGTTTAATCGTCTACCTGAGCCATAAAACTGCCAAACAATTCACTGGTACTCTTACGTACGTGCTTGGGCACGTAGTATGCTACACTGTTGTCATTGCTGATGATGGGATACCAGCACAGCGATATGCATATTGCTCAAGAAACGTAGCCCTCCGCCCCCTCCCCGATCCCCAAATAAAATCGCCAAACTATTGGTGGTGGTGGGCAGGGACGGGGGTGCGAGACTACATCCAAGACGTGCTTCATGAACAGGGGGTTTCATCAGCTGCCCAGTTCCATCCATCCGAGTTCCAGCATCATTCCCCTCTCTTCCCGTAGAAACCAACCACAGTACAAATTGTCGCATATCCGACCCGTCACGTGTCTGCCCCCGTCAGGATTAACAGCCCTCGCCCCGGTGCAGTGTTTGTGCAGTGTATGTGCACTGTTCGACTAAACTTTTTTTGTAGACGTTCACAAACTCGACCGTTGTCACGCACGATCGCGTGCTCCTACTCTAGGAAACATTCGCTCGCTCGCTCACGAAGCGCACCTTCCCTCCAAAGCAGCTTTGAGCTTTGTGTCCGCTGACCTATTATTTGTGCACGACGGTGTGACGGTCACTCTCGGCACGTTCACACATTCGCCTTGACCTCCGTCCCCCTGGCGAGTCAGATACGCGCTGTTGTACTGCACCGACGACCTGTGTTCCTCCTGCCTGGCTAAACCCGGGACCACGGGGTTACCAACGCGAGCCCACGCAAGCGTCCCTCGGTGTTCCGACGCCATCGTCACAACGCAACGTTTTGTCAAGGCTGAGCACACGGGTCCCAGAGATCGCACGACTACCAAGGAGAGATGGCCACCCCAACGCGGGATGGCCATGTAGTGACGACCGGGAGGGGCGACCACAAAATAAGCAGCTCATTAATGCGGTTAGTCGGCTCCTAAAAATCAGCACGCGTATGATTACATTCTTAACGTTTAAAAATATATGTATAATTACTCTTACAGCATGTCTGCATGTACACCACCACCATCATCATCACCACCACCATCAATCATCATGAACATTATTCTTACATGTATCATTAACATTACGGGCCCTCCCAAAACTTGCACAATTTAAAAACTCTGATTGCTGTCCTCAGTTGATGTATAGAGAATCGAAACGCTTGTGAATAATAATTTTCTGTTTGTACAAGTGTGCGTTTTCTTCCAATGCATAAATCAAACCGCCCAAAACCGTACTGAGGTCATTGCTAAATCTTTAAGAGCAGATAAATACGTGAGGCTTTCCCCGACTACTCAAAAGTGACACACGCCTACAAAAACAAGAAGACAGCACCCCTTTGAAACCCTGTCACATTTACATCGTTTTGGTTAAATCTCCCAAGAATAGTAGAGGGGGGAAGGTGGGGGGGAAGGGGCTCCCACCATATTGCATTCTCAGCATCTGATGTGGAATCAAAAAAATGTAGCACACACGGTTACCCAGTCCCCCCCCCCCCCGGCTCGCCGCGTACTCGAGCCGGCCTGCTTGCCGCACCGCGCAGCGTACGCGGACGGACACGGTCGGAGGTGCACAACAACCCCAGTGCGCCGGCACGATAGCGCCGTCGGTAAAGTGTGTGCGCACGTACAGCCTGTTATTGTCGATCCACCGCTGGATGAGGGCCTTGTAGGCCCGTGAGAGATGTTTGACCGTGCTTCACCGTGCTGGTCGGTGCAGGTCGCGAAGGTGGGTGGAGGTTGGTGGAATGCAGAACAACCAACGCAATTGGCTTCATTGACCTCAAACGCCCGCAAAGCCTCTTACACCTTTGGTGGGTCAAAGGCAGGTAGGTGTAATGCTGGAACACTTGGCTTTTGACTTCAGAGATCTGACAGTGCTCTGGCAAGTGCTGGTAAACGTACTTGCCTGCGCAAGCTCTTTAGAAAAAAAGAGCCAGCTCGTCAAGAAGCCAATTGAGCAGCTCCTGCTTTCTCCCAAGGTCCCATCGCAAACGACGATTACTTGTAATTGTGCATCCCCCCCCCTAAATTACCAACCCCCCCCACCGTCCAATCCCACAAAGGACTAAGGACGACCTCAAACTGAAAGTTTTTTGTGTTTACGAAAGCGAGGCTACCTTTGTACAACTTAGCCTTGGGATTGAAATGAATTGAAGACGCCCAAGCGCCGAGTTAAAAAAAGCATTGCCTCGTCAACTCCATCCAGTGTCTTTTACATCTGGGTTTTTTATACAGCAGTTAAAAAAAAGGAGAGAAAAAATGGCAACGGTCTTAAACGTCACATTACCGTACTCGAGGTGAGTGTGAATGTGCCAGACAGAGCCATGGATGGGGGCTCATAGCTTCACACGGATTGAGCGACGGTCCGGGGTTGCGGGGGGGGGCGTGCACATCGCTGCTTGCCAGAGTGGGGGTCCCTGGAAGTGGGCCGCGCCTGATCTTGTCACTCGTTCATATTAAACTTCTCCTCGATGGCCTGCGCACAACAACAATAACAGCGTCGGCGCACACTCGCGTCAAGGGCCACGACGCGGCCAAACAACGGCTCGCTGCACTGACACACCGGCCAGCCGCACCAACAGAGAACCTCCGATTAGCACGGTTGGCTTCGTACGGTAAAAAGGAAGTTCAACAAATATACATACGTGGCTAGCCACGATTTCAATTAAAGTTACGTAAAAAAAAACTAGCTGTACACATGCGTATCCTTATTGCAAATGCAGTACGTGCGTAGTTATATAGGATGTGTGTGCGTGTTAGTGTACGTGCGTGTTAGCGTACGGACCGAAAACAAGCACTGATGGTGTGCTCTACTGTGCAGTGCCGGCAGACGTAATTACCTGCAGCAGTTTGAGTTTCTGAGTGAGGCTTTCCAGTGTATTAAAGACATCGTCCACGGGCAGTGGGGAGAATACCACACGTGGTGATGGGGGCTCCAGTTCATCCTGCAAACAAAGACAAAGATCCCCCGTACAGCCTTAGCAGACTTTTGGGGCAAGGGCAGCCCACGTAATTCACTTCCACTGGATGCTCGCTCTGCCGACTCCCCCCCCCGCCCCCCCTCGGTTCAATCAACTCGCGCCCGAAGATGCAACGAATTTTTAAAGGGCTTTTTTTATTATCAGAATCCTTTGTTTTAGGGTTGGATAGGATTTGTGTGAGCCTGCACGTGTGTGGGTGTGTGCGTGTTTTGTACAGCGCCTTGTGGTCTCCAGGTTCAAGCCGCTTAAGAAGTGTAAATTGTTATTATATATTGTGACTATTTTCGGCAAAATTGTGCTACAAAAGCGTGCCTACCAATGAACATGAACACAAATGCACAGATGAACGAGGCGCGGGCAATGCTCACCTGGTATAGCGAGGCCGGCACCGCGGTGTGGTCGTGGTAGCGGCTGAAATGATCGCTCCCGCTGCTGCTGATCGGGAAAGTTTGCAGCCGCTCGGGCACCTCCTCGCTCCGGTAGAGCGACGCCGCCGCCGCTTCACCTGCGCCCTCCTCGTCGCTCTCGGCAAGCGTCTCGTGCTTCTCCACGCCGCCCCCCCCCGCGAGGTCGTCGTCTGTGCTGCTCTCCTGGGGTCCGCTCGGCCTCGCTAAAAAGAAATAGTTTCCTGCAAGAGAAAGCGACGACGCGTTTCACGGAACGCCGGAGGCGCTCCAGAGCCTTCGAGCGAATCACCCGGAACAGGTCCGAGCGCGTCCGCCATCGTAAATCAAGCAGGGTGTCAGCTCGGGACATTGGATTGGGGAGATGTTAACTACCTCGCCTGGTATACAGGAGGTCGTGGGTTCAATCCCGACCCTGTCACCTGTATATTTGGAGTTTGCGTGTCTCTCTCCCTGTGGTCGCGTGGATTTTTCTCCGGCTCCTCCGGTTTTTCCCTCCACATTTAGAAACATGTGTTTAGAGTATTTACCTGCTATACATTTCCACATGATAAGCCACTTCATTGAGCTACATTTGTGGCCAGGTCGCTTCTGAAAAAGAGCTATATAGCTCTGTGGGCATTACATGGTAAAATATTTTGCTTTAGTTTTGATGACCGCCATGCATAACTACTGGCTGCTGCGGTGCTATGCTGTGGCCAACTTATTGCTTTACAACTCATGTCTTTACAACTCGTGTCTTTACAACTCGTGTCTTTACAACTGATCTAGTTTGTTGTCCTTTCTCCGCACCTCCGATTAGCACGGTTGGCTACGTATGGTGCGAAAGAAATTCAACATACGTAGGTACATAACAAGAGGGCTGTGTTGTGCTGTGCTTCTATGCTCTCAGGTCGACGCTCCCTGCCGGCACCAACCCCCCCCCTCCCCCGGAGGTGAGCATGTTGAAACATCAGTAATATTTTTGTGACTTGCGTCAAAGGTCGTTGCTCTTATATAAATGGTACATAGCACATCGTCAACGCCGCGGAGCCCCACGTTGACACCTGTCACAAAGAGCCCTCGGCTCGACTCTGCACGACGATCATTATTACGCGATTTAGACGACCGACTGGCTGCCCTCCCCCATTTTGTTCCACCTGCCCGGCCCGGCCCGGCCCGGTGAAGTACGGTCAGGCATCTCTCATGGCCCGCGTAGGCGTGATCGGAAGGGCCTCATCCAGCATTGGATTGGCAAAAAGGGAGGCTCAACATCAACACGGGCATGCACACGAGCACGAAGGCCGTTGGTGGTGAAGCCCGAACGGGTGAAGGGGAGGATGCGGCGGGTCGGCCCCATACCTTCACGGCGGATGATCGGCACCGTCCCCCCTTCCGCGCTCCCCGTGCCGTTCTGCTCCAATCTCTGCTCCTCGTCGCTAAAGTGCACGGCGTCGCCAGCGCCCCGTCCCGCGTCCCCCTTCCAGCCGTCGTGAGGACCGGATACCCCCCCCGCCGCCGCATCCGCATCCTTCTCGTCGGCCTCTCCGCGCCTGCCGTCGACCGCCTCCTCCCCGTGTGCGGAGTGGTGGGGGGACCGAGCGGGGTGTGGGCTGTACGACAGCTGGGACTGCAGGAGGCTGAGGCCGCGTTCCAAGTCGCCGTCGTCGCGGGGCCCGGCCACGACGCGCAGGTGGCGCACCAGCATCCTCCGCAGAAGCCCCACTGCACACACGGACACGCGCACACCGCACGTGTACACGGATGCATGGAGCCAACCACGCTAATCGGAGGTGCGGGGTGTACGACAACAAACCAAACGCAAAAAGCGGTCAATATGAAACCTATACTCTTACATAATTGGCCACGATCTATTCACTTCCAGAGGAAGGCCTCCCCCCAAGCCGCCACCGCCGCCACCATCTCTCACGGCCCTGCATTGCAACAACCCCACACGGCGCCTGCCACACAGAGAGAGCCGACTGCGCCGCTCCCACCGTGGGGTGCCCTGCCTCTCGGGCGCACTCCGTCCTTTGGCTGCACGTCCTCGTCATCCATTCCGGCGACGCGTCCTGCCCCAGCCCACGTCACTTTTCTGACCGGTCACTCTGACGACTCCGATTCGTGTACGTTTCCGATCCACGCGTCCCTCTGTCTCGCGAGTGCGATTTAAAGAATGCAGCTCTCCTGCTTTTTGTGCGCCCTCGTCAGCTTTCGTTATACTTTTTTTGCCAACGTCCGTGTTTCTGATCCGCGCGCACATTCTGCACGGCAGTTTATTGGAAGAGTTGAGATGAGATGCGATGGATTGCGATGCTAGTTGCTAAAGGCATTGAAGCAAATGCCCTGTAAATGCAAGTTATTTAACCCTTATTTGTGAAATATCTTCTTCTTTAAAAAAATATATATTTTACCAGCTAAGGCCCACTAAGCTATGTAGCTCTTATTCAGAACGCGACCTGGCCACAAACGATAGCTCAAAAGAGTGGCTTATCATGTGGACATTTATAGCAGCCGAATACTCTAAAGGCACGTTGATTCTAAATGTGGAGGCGAAAACCGAAGGACCTGGAGAACAATCCACGTGACCACGGGGAGAGACACACGCAAACTCCCAATATACAGCAGGCGCCTGGGTTGGGATCGAACCCACGACCTCCTGTATACCGGGCGAGGTAGTTAACATCTCCTAGCTACAACCGGATATCCCAACTCTAATTTGACTTGACGCGCGAGGTTTGCCGGACTGGCCGGCGGGTACACACGCGAACGTAGCGGCACTGACCGTCGCGCAGGGCGGCTTGGGCCAGCTCCTTCTCCGCGCCCGGCTCCTCCTCGAGCTGCGCCGCCACGCTCCGCCTGCTGCTCATCGTCTCCGGCACCCTCGTCATGAGCGGCGCCTCCTCCGGCTCGCTGTAGGAGTCCAGGCCGCTGCTCGCCGCGACGTCGCCGCTCTCCTCCTTTCCAGCCGTCACATCCAGAATGTCGTCTGCAAATGCAATGCCGTCGTTTGCACCTCGAGTTGCTGCGAAGGGCCAGCTGCCACCGGGGTCCCCCCCCCCCTTAGGCCCCAATGTAGAGGGGGAATCGGAATGATTGAGATGAGATGCGATGCCCAGGCCCTGCTAATGCGAGCACCCGATAAATGTAAATCTTTTCACTGAGAAGGATCTGTATGTCGTTATTGGCAAGTGGCTGGATCACACTGGAATGATAAGCAGAGGTTGCAAATGCCACACAGTCAACCTGCAATTACTGAGGGTAATGGGGGGGGGGGGATGGCCCAGACATAACGCAAAAGATATATGCAAATAAGGATGTGGAGACTGCACATGTCACCATGTTACTATGCCAGATAGGAAAGCAGAGCCATAGCAAGGCGAGGTACACGTGACAAGAGACTGGCAGCCACGGACCGTTGTGCCAAACGTGTGACCTCTTGTGACAGCATTTGCATCAACTGCTCTTGCTGCCATAAACCGGTATCTCAAGCAATGTGTTTAATCCACATATCGCAGGGAAGGGGGGAGGGGTCAATTTGCCGGAGTTTACGCATCCAAAAAGTGAGAGCCGTCTCCCTCGAACTAAGTTCTCACTCGCGAGGAGACCGATCGCAGACGCAACGGTGACATTTATGACGATCGCCGAACCATCGGATGCCAAGAAGGCATCTTTGGCGTCGCATGTGGAAGGACCGCAGCAAATCCTAATCAGCTTGAAGCAATTTCCAGGCCTCCGCACCAGACAGCGAAACTGACAAAAACCCAAACACAACTGGAACAGGCGGTGGAGAAAGAGAGACAAACCAGGGACGGCACTGGCAACGTTCCGCTCCGCTGACGGGGCCAGGGGAGATCGTACCGGACAGGGACGTGAAGGAGGACGGCCGGACGTCGTCGCCACCTTGCTTGCCGACGACCGTCGCAACGGAATCTTTGTGCTCGTGTGACCTGCGCCGGGAGAATTAAAGGCGCACGTGATCGTTAGCGTCGAAACCGTTGGAAAGGCCGTAGCGTCCGTGACGTGCGGTGCTGTGCGAGTGAGACGTACGTGCTCGCGCGTGGCTTCTTGTACCCCTGCGGCCCGAGCAGGATGAAGGAGGTCATGTTCTGAGTGCCTTCCTGTTGCTTCTCTTTCTCCACCGCATGTTCCAACTGTGTCTGCCAACTGCCGAACAGCAACCACCTTAGCAACAATACCAACCTCCAACCTCTTTCGTTCCACGACCGTTACCCCCTCTTTTCAACATAAGTATGTTACCAGGGTTCTACGTGGTGAGCAGTGCGAGGGCAGTTCAACAAATTAAATTGTTGCATTATACTGCTATGCTCCCGCACCTATACCTCTCCGCCTGCAAGAACCAACCCCAGTAACAATAGCATGGTGAAACATTTCGGTGGCAATTTTTTTGACCGATGTTAAAGCTCATCGGCCATTCATAGCTCGTCATCAACATCGCAGGCAGCTCCCTGATGACTTTCTGTCCTAATGATGCCCTTACTCTGCACGACGGACATCACTTGAGCGAGTGGTGGCTCACGGACGGAAGCAGTTTTCTTATCACTAAGATGTCACGAACACGCACTTACATGAGCATCTCTTTGCTCGTGACAGCCACCAGCTCATAGATCTGTGGGCCCAACTGTGACGTCGTGATCAAGAAAAAGGCTCGTTTATCTGAAAGAAAAAAAAAACAAATGATTGCAAAAAACCTTTGTATTATGTAACATTATTTCCATTGTGATGTAACAACATTCGCAATTGTTCTAACATGAATCTTGATTCAAAGCTTGCGTGACTGCAGGAATTCATACTCTTTGGGTCTTTCGGTAAAGTCACGTAGATAGAAAAATAATAGATCACGACGTTTCGATTACAACACAGACAATCGTCTTCTCTCTCTAACATGCACTGCGCATTCACTCATGGTGCAGTTAAAACATCTAATTGAAAACAAATATCGATTCTCTACACTCATAATACAGGTGTACCGCGAAATAAGTTAATTCGATTCAGGACGATTCGTTATTTCGTTCGTCATTAATTTCAACTTTAATTTTGGTTTACATCTCCGGAGAAAAATCCAGGCGACCATGGGGGGAACACGCAAACTCCAAATACACAGCAGCAGGCGTCAGGGTCGGGATCGAACCCACAACCTCCTGCACACCAGGCGAGGCAGTTAACATCTTGCCACCGCGCAAAAGAATCGAGAATCGTTTGCGGTGGCGCGTGTGGGGTGCCAGCGCCTTTACCGGTGGCCACGGGCCGAACGAGCACCGTGCCCAGCTTGATGACGGGGCTGAAGGTCTGCTTGGCGTCCGTCGCCGTCCCGGCAGACGTCTTGCTGTAGCAGCGCAGCACCAGCCGCTCGTCCTGCTTCTGCAGCAGCACGAGCAGGTCCTCCAACAGCAGCACGTGCAGGTCTGGAGGGGGGCGGCACGCACCGCGGGGACACCGGGGAGAGGGGGGGGAGTCACCATCCAATAATAGCAAGCGTTGAACCACGTGCGAGTGTCTGTGCGCGACGCGGAGCGCGAGCACGGCGGTGGAACCCGCCAAGCGCTCGTGGTTAGAATGCCGGCAGGCCGCCGCCCCGGTAAAGCCTGTCCCGTGTATTAACCGTAAGATACCGCGCACCGTTTGCCTCACGATAGACGCTAAAAAGATCACGTGACGTCATTCGAAAAATAGTCGGCCATAACGCTACGGCATCATGGTCCATGTTTGCAAAATAATTTAAAATGTTCTGTAAATCAATCAATTTAGATGACACAGAGCAACATCGCCCCCACTGTGAAACTATTGCAGACCGTCTGTGAAACACAGTGCCTTCGTGACAGCCTTGCGCTATCGGAATGATGACGTGAAGACAAAATGTCCTGAAAGCCTACGTGTTAAACTGATCATAACCGAATCAGGCCTTTAACAAGACTCACCGATGCTCTTTTCCTTGTTGACTCTCCACGTGAGAGGACCTTCGTACAGCATCTTCTTGTGTGTGAGATCCAGGTTCTGGAGCGAAAAACACGAGACCAAACGTGTTCCATCAACCACACAAAACAAGCAAACAAACATTTCCAGCGTCACTAACGACAACCGTGGGATGGTGGCGTCTGGGAGTCGCACACCTTAAAGTCGGTGACAAGCGGGTTGTAGGATCGCTCCAGGGAAGAGAGATCCAACCGTCGCTGGTAATCTTCCAGCCTCTGAGGATGAACACACAACGCAAACGCAATGTTAAGAACAAACACACAGATGTGGCACGCAGTGCCCGTTTCACCGTCGCACTTCACCTCCATTGGATGACACTTTCTGTAATCCACCGCTGGATGGGGAGGTCGTGGGCACTGTTTTGTCTGTGATCTGACCAGATCGGGTGCATCGCGGATGATTTGGTCCAAGAGTAAATTTGACTGGGAATGCTGGCACGGCCTAGCGGTGAGCATACCGGACTTGCAAGCCAGAGGCCGCCGATTCGATCTCCTGGCATGGCAGGTGAACTAATGGGGGCCAGTTTCCCCTCCTCCGTCCACCCAGAGGTATGATGAGTGGGTTACAATCAGTTAGACGAGCGACCGGTCGCGTGTGTTGGCTACACACTCCCACCGCCTTCAATCCATCTGGTCAGTGTGCAAGAATAGGCCAAAACATCCATCGTAGAGGGGCTTTCTAGAGCTCCCTCTCGCCATGGAAGCCCCTTCTGCGAGCAGCGGCATGGGCAACCAGTTGCAGGGCGGCACCTTTTACCCCTTTTTTTACGTTCTACTCATATTCTGTCAAAATCGGGGGGCATATTCCCCACCACACCCAAGACTTAAAATGTCCCCAGAGCACCGTGCGCACAACAACGATCTTGACACCGCTGGTACCAGTCATCGCCAAGTCCACTCAGCTCCACGTCCTCCTGTACCACGTTACTCCATCTCTTCTCTAGCCCGTGCCGCGCCCGTTTAGCCCTCGATCCGGCCGAACAAAAGCTGTTTAGGCGTGCAGTGGCTGGGCATGCGGGCTACATGACCCAGCCAACGCAGCCTTGCCTGCCGGATATGGGCCCGCATCCGCTGTTCCATTACTATGTAGTCCAGAAGATGTTCTTGCTTAGACCCGGCATGCATCCATGATGTTGTGTGGATGCGCCAATGCCGGAACAGCGTGTTGGTAATTACAAGCCCATGGGCTGCACAAATATCTAGCAGCCTCATACCGTTGTTATTGAGCTGATCTGGCACATGTCTTCCAATCACTCCAGACCAGGTGCGAGTATCATGACCAACTCGGTCATTAAAGTCACCCAACAAGATGACTCTATCCCGAGGGGCCACTTTAGCCAGCACCTGTGACAAGGAGGTCATAGAAGGCATCTGACTCATCAGCCTTGCCTGCATCCCTCCATGGATGTTCGTCTTCGGTGGGGGCATAAGTAACCACGACCACCACTCCTCGCCTCTGGTTGATGGGAAGGCGAGCCCAAAGTAGCCTGGGGCTTACAGCTTCCCACACCTCACCGCCACGCTCCCACGCCCCCTTCATTCTGTTGTTCAGAAGAACAGCCACTCACTGTTGTTTGGCACTCTCCTGCCCCGACTAGAGGACTGTCCGCCCCTCATGGTGGACCTTCTGAATACCAGAGATCCAGGCGGTACCGAAGGTGGAGGGGTCATCAGCCCCTCGCACCCGTTCAGAGCCCCCCCATTTGGCCGCTATGGTGGTTACAAACGCCATGAAGGCACTGCCCACCACAGTGTTGCCGTCCGGCACCATGGACGGCAACGCACACACACACACACACGCGTGTTGTTGCAATATCCCCGGAGCACCACGCACACGCACACGCGAGTTCTTGGCGCGCGAGCGTCGTTGGCATACAAACGTGTGCGCACTCACACATGCGCACCCAGCTGGCACCGTACCTGCGCGTTCTCGGTCTCCCGCACGGTCTCGTTGACGTCATTGAGGATGCGCCGGCAGCACTCCCCTGCCTTGTGCAGCTTCTTGTGGTCCGGGTGCTCGACTGTTCGCACCGCACAAAGATCCCCCGCGTAAAACCTTCAACAGGCTCCTGGGGCAAGTGCCGCTAGCAAGAACCTACATGAAGGCTGGCAACGGCACATGAATGCAGTGTTGTGGCAAGGACCACGTCCGCCCGCCTTTGTCTCCCCAATGCTGATGTTTACACACCACACCTGATGCTCATTTAACACTGAGTCGACCTCTGGGAGGCCCAGAACCGGTTCAGATATTCGTTACTGATGTTGGCTGTGAGCGGGAATCGAACTCGGATCGCTAGGTCCATAGGACAATGCGCTCTCTACGAAGACATGCACACATTCACACATACAAACACACATATGTACAAACACATACACACATATGCCATCTTCCTCTCGACTAAATTCAATATCATACTTCAGCATCCCATTACTGTTAACATTCATTTGTTTATCGGGGTGGCGCAGTGGTAACGCTAGTGCCTCACAGCAAGAATGGCCTGGGTTCGATTGCTGCATTGGGTGCCTTTCTATGTAGCGTTTGTATATTTTCCTCAGTTATGACATTGCTTTCCTTTGGATTCTTCAGATTCCTCCATTGTAAAAAAATACGTAAACATAATACACAATTTAACATGATTGGCCAAACATCCCAATGCTGAAAAAGTACCAGCAAATTACTCAATTGGGATTACACACAGCAGCAGCAGCAAGTGGAAAGGAAATAGGAGCATCAGGAGAACCCACGCTCTAAGGGTGATTCAAGATGATCCCTGGAACCCATTACCAGCCTCAGCAAGACCTGCCGATGCAGTGTCCAGCACAAAAGACAAATCCAAAGATCTCCTGTATAGCCTGAACAGACTATTGGGGCAAGTGCTGTTAGCGAGCACCTATGAAGGCCGGCACAGCACACGAGGGTTGGGTGGCCAACACCACGCCCAGCCACCTTTGTCTCCCCAGTGGTGATGTTTACACACAGCACCAAGTACTCATTTGAGGCTGAGTCGACCTAGGGGCGGCCCATGACTGATTCAGATAATCGTCATTGGTGTTGGCAGTGAGCGGGAATCGAACCTGGGTTGCCTGGTTCGTAGCGCAGCGTACTAACCGTGACACTATCGCTCCCCACACACTGACACACACGCACATCTGTAAAGGTGCGTGCTTGACCGCTCACCCTGCGTGTACTTGAGAATGTTCTGCAGGAGCAGCGGGTACTTGGTAAGGCGCTGCATCTCGGTCAGCATGAAGTCTTTGAGCTGCAGTCTCCTGCACTTTGGCTTGCTCTCTGCTTCCTGCGAGCAGCAGCAACAAAGACTCCAGTGCGTCATGACGACTCGACTACTGCAACGCGCTTTACTGTTGAAATATTTGTCAAGGTATTATCCGGGCTACATCGCCATCATCAGCAATCCACTGAAGGCCTCCTCAAATCGCCACGACCTCCTGCGATCCTGCGATGCAATAATCCAGCAGCACCCTAGAAACGAGCCAATTTCATCGCACCACTCTTACGTTGGGACGTCCTCAAGACGCGTCACATTCATTGGCTGCCGCTCCATCAATATTCTTAACAGAAGGCCATCGAATGTAGCTGTAGGCAATCAGCATTGCCTGCTCCCCATATCTGACCCTTCATGTAAAAATAAAACATTCTACACATGCCACGAGGCACATCCTTGCAGCATCGGCTTTTAGCTGGTCATGGAACAAAGACGGTCACTGCATCGTGTGGAGTTTTCAGATTCGCTTCCGCGGCCGTCTGGAACGCTCTTCTTTCCGATATTATGAAGCCACTGGAGCTACGCACTTTTAAAATCTACATTGAAAACTCATCTTTGTAGAGCTGTTTTTTGCGTATTAGTTTGTTGTCCTTCCCCCGCAACCTCCCATTAGCACGGTTGGCTACGTACCATACGTACATGCACACACATTGTGCGCGACAAACTGTGCACGACCCATTGTGCGCGTCGTGTTCCCCCACCATCATCAGCTGCTGGAAGCGTGGGTCCTTCTTCTGCTTGCTGCGCACGATGTCGAGCGCCTGCGACTGCAGGCTGCAGAACTTGGCGGTGGCCGCCTTCAGCACCTCGCCAGCCTCGCCGTCAAACTGCCAAACGCAACGGAGGCAGCGAGGTCGTCATCATCGTCATCATCGTCATTATTATTATTCACGACTACTCCTACGACGCGCGTTATTGCTGCTAAATGTGTCTAACCGGGAAAGCGTCGCTTTGCCACGCTGGTCACTGCGGGAAGGTGAAGGGAGCGGGAAGGGCAGCACGGGCTCTGGTATTGCCGCTGATGTTAGCTGTGGCCAAAAGTAAAACTCGGGTCGCCAGGTAAATAGTGCAGCCTTGCTAGCGACTTTACATGCGCTCCACCACATTTAATGTATTTACTTGTACGTATAAATGTACCGTGCAAAATCTATATTTATATTTGGCATTTGTATTTCGATTTTTTTGTAGTTTATGCCAGATATAAAGCAGGCAAGATATATACCAAGTCCTTGTATTGCAATAACCTCATGAAGATTTATTCATTATTGAACTCGTGTTTACCCAGTAAAGCCTCACCGAGACTCAACACTCTTTTTCAGGAGGGTCCTGCCATGTTTGGTACGTATGTGTGTACGTTGAACTTCTTTCGCACCGTACGTAGCCAACTGTGTTAATCGGAGGTGCGGGGGAAGACATCGGGGCCAATGTTGCTATGTTTAATCTCAATTGTGGAATTTGCAGGAAAGTATTCAGTACAGCACTGGGATGTATGGCCAATACCAGTTACATTGTATGTTTTATTGTACCGATCTGAGAAAATCAGAGAACCCGGAAGAAGCCCATACAAACTTAACACACTCACTCACGCGCTCACTCACGCACTCATTCTCGTCTCTGCAGAATCGGAGGGGGGGGGTGGAAACATACACTCACAACAACAGCTGCCATTCGTCACAAAGTGGTGGTGACATCACCACAGTGCTTATGCCAGGCCAGGTGCACTTTAAGGCAACGTGAAGTGTCGAAGGCTCGCTGGCAGGTCATGAGACAGACCCAGGTGCCATGGGTTGACTGCATGAAGTGACTCGCACACACACGAGGTGTTACAACTTTGCCACCCCTTCCAATCACAAGCTCCACACAACATGCCCCGTTGTAACTGACAACATATTCAAATATTGAGATTCAAACGTTTCCCTCTTCATAAATCCAATTTATGCCCTTGATAATTGTGAACTTGAAAAGTGTAATTACTAGCCCTGCAACGATTAATTTGCATGCGTACATGTACAGCCCTTGTGTCAATCCACTTCTGGAACAAGGCCTCGCTACGCGAGTCATGAGACTTGTTTGACCATATTTCACCACGCTGGTCCGTGTGTGGGTTGGTGAAGGCGGAAAGAGCATCGACTTTTTTTTTGCAGGGGCAATTGAAGTCGGGCATCCAGGCCGACCGTGCCACAGACATCAGAGAGCTTGAGGAGGAAATGCAAGCGGAGCGTGCTGCTAGAATCAGCGTGGACATTTTGAGGAATGTTCAAGCACCCCATGGGTTAAGGGACTCCGATGCCATGTAAGAGCAAATCGTGCACAGACGGAGTATCTGCTAAGATTGCTGTACAGACGAATGGTTCATAACATTTCCAGCACCCTGTTTAAGTGTCTAATAACGTATTAAACTTGTCAACCAAGTGCAATATCCTTACCCGGGCCAGCATCAGATCTCCAATCTCGGCCACCACCTGGCTCTTCTCTCTTATCTTCCGCATGGCTTCGTTCAGACTCTCTGCACACAGCCCAAGGGTCAATAACAAACGTTCACATCTGGAGGAACAACGTTCGCATATCGTAACACTGCAGTGAATAGCACACTGCACAACCAACACAGCAAACCGAGTTCGATTCCCGGCCACTGCTAAAATCCGGAATGGTTTACCTGAACTGGTCCTGGGCTTTCTCCAAGTAGATCCAATCATAAATCGAGAAATTGGTGTCATGTGCAAATATCAGTACTGGGGAGACAAAGGCAGGTGGGTGTGGTGCTAGCCACACAACCCCATGTTGTGCCATGTAATGCCTTAAAGAGGCGTTCGCAAACAGGACCTGCCCAAAAAGTCTGTTATGTATGTATGTGACTACATTGAACTTGTTTTGCGCCGTACGTAGCCAACCGTGCTAATCGGAGGTACATTAGTTGGCTCAATGCTACACAGGGGATCTTTATCTTTGTGACGCCCAGCAGACACAGACTGCTGCGGCAGTACAGGTGGCGACTGGTGCGGGGCGTTTGGTGGATCGTACCGTGGATGGGCAGGATCTCGTCGAGGTTGATGAAGATTTGGTACGTCTCGTTGTTGGTGAGGACGGGCGCCAGCCGCGAGTAGAACACCTCGTACAGCACCTTCAGATTCTGCACGTGCTTCTTCTCCGTGTGGAAGAGCTCTGCGCCGCGGCACAACGAGAGAGCGCCGCCGCTGTCAGCCTCGGCAGCGACAAAACGTCGAGGCGGTGCCGTGGGCTCAGGGGTCACGGCGCTGGGCCGGCACCGTTGAGATCCGGGGTTCAAGTCCAGGCAGTTGCCTGTAATTCAGACGCTCTCTATCCCGCAGCTACTGCACAGTAGAAACCGTACTTCAAACAACAGGGTGGTAAGGTAGCATGATCCTGGGTAATCTATCGATTGCCCGAGAGGGTGTGTGACCTACTTTTGCACGCTGGGCAGATATCCTGGAGGTGGGAATCGCACCACACGTGGCCTACCGATTGACTGTGGTATACCCATTTATATCTCTGTGGGGAGCGGGGAGGGAGGACGGTGGGAGAGGGGAGGAGGAATCGAACCGGCCGGATCTAACAGAACTGAAATGCAAGACCAGCGTGCCGAGCATTACGCCACGGTGGCATCGCTTGCGGGAGTTGTACCGCACGATACCGCGCAGTACGGCCACAAAGCAGCAACCCAAACACAGCGTGGCGTGTTTGAGCGACACCGTTGACGGCCTACCGTTGATGACCTCCTGCCTCTTGACCTCAATGACGGGAAGGTCTTTAAGCACTTCGGGGTCGACCGAATGCTGCCAGTTGGGCGTCTCCAGCTCCTCGGGCTCGCGTGACTGGTCGTCTTCCGAGGGCACGGACACCATAGACTGACGGCTCACGTTCTCCGACTCCGACACCGTCTGGCTGGTTATACTGCACGGCAGGGGTGGGGGGGGGGGGTGTAGGGGGGGAAGGGAGCACCGCTATGAGAATCCCATAAGGACCGAGTACATTTGAGTCTGATAGCCAGTGACGCAAGTGAAAACAAGCCATAGAATCGAATATTACATACAGAGCTCCCTCTGAGACCCCTGCAAGTGAAATGACATCTGGTGCCAACATTAAGGGGCAGCACTTTCCTACCCACTCCGCCACTGACGACAGTGTCCGCTGTATGATGGTCAAAATGATATGCTTAACGCCCAGCGCTGGTGTAATGTATTCCGAGTGGAGAATCAAATTTAATACGATGGGGTTCTCTTCGTGCAGTCATTAGTTACGGGGGTTGAGATCATCAACTCACTACACTAGAGAACCTGGATTGATCACTGGCACGTAATTCTTTTAGAATTGTACAGCTGTGGCATCATACAACAAGGCCATTAAATGTGTTATAAGCTAAATCACCTTAGAGTTTGTTTTAATACACTGTGGTTTTGCGTATATCGTTGAGGTCGTACTGCGAATGTAGCATTGCCCTTCTCACTTAAGAGTGGATGCCTGAAACCGATTCCAACCCAAGAACTCGGCATTGCCAGCGAAGCGCTCCGAGTTGCCTGGCCACCTGACTGCTGGCTTGGCTGTGCGTGTGTGTGCAGGCTCGGTGTTGTGACGAGCGGGGTGACGGCGCAGAGGCGACGATGAGGGGTACCTGTCCGAGTCCCCTCCATCCTCATCCCCCATGGGGATCGGCGAGGGCTCCACTGGGGGTTCCAAGGACACGCGGTGCTTGGGCGTGCGCCCGTCCGTGGCACCCAGCTGCTCGGAGGAACGGCGACCCATCGAAGGGTTAACGCCACCTGGTCACGCGCGCACGCACAAAAGATCCCCCGTCTAGTCTTCCACAGGCTGTTGGCGCGAGTGCTGTTAGCTGGCATCTATGAAGGCCGGCACGGGTTTCTTGAACACTCAAGGGTGGAAAGAGCGAGCTTTGGTTGGTAATCTTACAGACTATGAAGATGAACCAAGACAAAGGTCCCCCGTATAGCCATTCAGATTTTAGGGGAAAGTGGTTTTAGTGAGCACTGATTAAGGCCGGCACAGCACAACAGCACGGGGTACTCACTTAAGGCTTAGTCGACCTAGCGGAGGCCTGGGATGTGCTCAGATATTACTCGCCACCGACATTATCCATGGCTGGGAATTAAGCTAAGAAAGCTGTTTTTGCTGCCCAGTTAAGGGACTCATGCTGACATGATGACGCTGAAAATAACGATGCAGACGATGATTCTGATGCTACTGCTGATGATGTTGATGATGTTGATGATACTGATGATATCATGCTCACGGTTATGCTTCGGCTGATGATTCTGATACTACTGCTGATGCCAATGATACTCATGACGACCATGCTCATGATCATGCTTCTGCTGAAGATGACACCGATGACGATGATGGTACTGATGACGATGCTGATGAAGGCACAGCAGCCCGAGAGAACGAGTCGTCGCGCACCATTCTCCATGTCCGATTCGTCCACAGTTGGGTATCGCGGGAGGAGACGCGGCGAGGAACTGTTGCTGGGAGTGATGCTGGGATAGGCCCCCGTTCCGGGCGAGGAGGACTCGGACGAGAGATCGTAAACGTCGAGCGAGGGGCCCGCCAGCCTGGGCAGCTTGGGCAGAGAGCTTGAGCGGCCTGCTGCCCACACACGCACACAAACAACGTCCCCCGCACACTGGTGAGGCACGCTGGTGAGACACGCCAGGGGGACACGTGCCGCCGCTCCCAAACGCGAGTGAAATGATTCACGATTCTACTCTCGAGCTTCCGGCAGGCACCAGACACGCGGGCATCGACAACTCCTCCCAGATGCCCACGGTGGTGCGTGGAGGAAAGCTTGGGAGCAGAAATTGCTCGATGCGCGGGCCAACCCGGAGGAAAACCGCCCCTGGATTTCAACCAGTGGCTTGCAATCTGAGCGCGCGTTAACCGTGAACCACCCTCGTCGTCTACTGTGTCTTAATGTGTGGGGAGTGCAATGGGAAAGGCATTAAAGCAAAAGGTTGAAGTGGCCTTAACTTGTGTTATGAACTGAGTGTCAGTGTTTCACTCCACGTTCTAGGTCGTCGGTATCACTGGGTATTGCTACGGAAGAGGGGACGTTTCCGTTTTAATGCACGCAAAAAGAATTACGTAAGAAAACGATCGTCGGTTTACCGTCCCCTCACCAACCTGCACTGACCAGCGTGAAGGCCCTGGGTCCAGGAGCCCCGGGCGGATATTCCACTCATCGGTACCAGCCAAGGTGGCATAACTTTAGCTGTTCCAATTTATTTCTGTGTCCAACAAAAGCAAGTGATGTGATAACCATTGAGAATGAGTGGAGGTGATCAAATAATTCACCCTTAATGGCAGTATATGAAGAAATAGTTGTGACTAAATGTTTGCTACCTTAGGTGGTACCAGTTCCTACTCTGACCCATGGACAAATTGATTTAAGTGTCCAAACACGTTGCAAAGCGCCATGCGACTGGAGCATTCGCGCGTAACAACTCGGCTGAATCGTTCATGACGACCAAGCAGGATTTTGATCATCGACTTCACGACGCTTGGCATCGATAACCAATTGCCGATTGATTTATAGACAACGACGATCGGATGATGAGGAGTGTGGGCAGAATTACCATCGGATGGGTTGGCCACAGGCATCGCAGGGAAATCTGGGGATCACAAAACACAAGAAGTTACTCTCACACCCTGGACGAGGAGAGGAGGGTGCGGGCTGCTAGTGGTTATTATATTTATTCTTCGGCTCACGACACACGAGTCACATCGTGCATGTGATCATTTATATTTAGCGATACGTATATGTCAGGGGTCAGGAACCAAAGTAAAAGAAGAGGAGTAATTTTTTTGGAGAATTCGGTAAAAAACTCAAAATTTCAAGAGCCGGAATCCACGTGAATACGAGACGGTGATCCTTACAATAAATAACGTCACGAAGCAGCCCTTAAAGAGCCACATGCGGCTCCACAGCCGCAGGTTATCGACCCCTGGTTACGTTGTGCGTTGTCACAGGGCCGCAAGGCAACCACGTCCACGTGTCCCATCTCCGCAAAACGTGCATGGGGACAAGCGCGCCGAAGTATCATCAACTAAACCCTGCCGGACCCCGCATGGCTTGGGCAGATCCTCATCTAGCAGTGGAATGAACGAGGAGCTACGCACGCACATATTGAAACGTGTGACCGTAAGTCATGCGCACGCGTGCACGGTACTCACAGAATTGACTGCCTTTATCTCGATCCCGTTTCCATTTGTCTTGAAACAACGAGAATCTTTTCTTGTCGTTCTCCTTTATCAGATCCTTTTCCTTCTTGGGGACAGGCTGCCCAACGGAGACCACGCGGAGAGCGCACACACACACACACATCAGTCAACGCAGCCGTTTGACTCAACGCAGCCGGCGCGAGAGTGCTTGTCAGGCTTTGTTGGCGAGCAGCTTGCTTGTGACTGCTCGGCCATCACGACGAATGGCTAACGATTGAACCGGCGTGCGCAAATTTATCCGATTTGTTTGCACAAGCACAGATAATCCACAACGCGGAAAACCAGCCCGCGAATAACCGAGAGTTAACTGCACTTTCAACATCCGGAACGGCCGTACGGCCTCAATTCCCTTCCAGCTCCTCCCTGACCTTCTTCTTGTTGGGCAGGATGTTGAAGAGCCGCTTGTCGGTGCTGGAAGGGGGCCGTTCCAGGGAGGGGACCGGACGAGCCCACTTCATCTTCACCCCGACGCCGTGCATGTACGTGGTGATCACCTGCACCATGGCGTTCCTAGAGGTAGCAGCAGGAGCCACACACACACACGCACGCACCAACGCAAGCGGAACTCAGGACACACTTGGAAGCAGTTGCTACCTATGGTGTATACCGACCCACAGCCCGAGGCCACGTGAGGCCTACCACTGAGAAACGATCCAACAACACGTTTCATCTGTCACTACAAGCATGCAGGCGGCACTAATCAGGTACTCTTATTCTACTTCTTCTCACCAACAGTTCCATTATTGTGCGAGGTCGGGTGCTCAGATTTTTTTCTCGCCATGAGATTCTATTCTGTGCCTGCTCGTCACATCCACTGCCGTCGTATCTGGCTCCACCGTATCCTCCCATGCACCGGTGGCATCTCCATAGCCCGTGTCACCTCAGGGTCTATATACGAATCTGTGAGTCTCGAATATCCGTAGTCCACAAGCCCAAACTATTTAAGTCGTGGCCTTATTGCGAATATGAGTAATCCCTGCTCACACTGAAATGTATTAATTCTGTCTCCTTTCTCTTTAAGAAATATAACCCAGCATCCATCTCAGCATTTACATCTCTGTCCTTTCAAGCACACTCTTTCTTACTTCTTCCATAGGGCACATATCTACCGAATACCTGGAGGGGAATATTTTCAACCTGGCAATAGCACCGAGTTTTTGCCAGGGCCTATTGCAGTGATGGAAGTGGGCGAGGAGAGCGTGCGTGTGAATGTGTGGTTGCCCACAAAAGGTGTTTGTAAGTCCTAGAGGTACCCCCACCCCTGAGATGGACAGATGAGCGGTGCATGAGCAGCCAAGAATTCATTGAAACCAGGAGCCTCTTTTTCAAGGGCATTTAATTCAATGGCAAAGCTGCGGCCCTGCAATTGCTCGCTCACGACACTGATGGTAGAAGAAGGCCCTCTGTGGGAGAGGGCTCCAGCGGGTATTCAGTCTGCTCTTACGCGCTGAGCAGATGTGTTTGGAAGAGGTCAGAGTACCCACACTTTACCCCAACACACGCAACATGCCGACTGACTGTGGTGAGTGCACCAATTCATATTGCCGGGTGGACAGTGGCGGCAGTGGGGGCGAGGGGGATTCTATGGAAGGCACCCATCATGATTTCAACTGCCACACCGGGAGATGGAATCGACCGTGCCACCTCTGGATTGCAAGTCAAGTATGCGAACCATTGCACCGCTGTGGTGGCTCCCCCATCGTTTAATGTCGCAGCTCTTATTTTTTGTGTTACAATAATACTACTAAGATATATCTTACCTTCTGTCCTCCTCCATTTTCCCACTAGAAAGACAAACAAAACACAAGAAAATATTAGAATTTTGTAAGTAAGGACAATTCAAAACAATATTAGGATACAAATCACTTCCCTGTGATTACCAAGTCAAACTCCACCGTTAATTCATTCACTTACCATTCTCATCATGGCAATCCACTGCTGGATGAGGGCTTCCAAAATGCTGTCAGTCTTCGGGTGTTTGACTGACCATACTTCCCCACGCCGGTCAGTGCGGGTTGCTGAAGGGCAGTGCCCAGAACCAGTTTAAGACATCACTCTGAACCACTGATGCTAGCTACGAGCGTGCGCTAGGTTCATCGCGCAGCGTGATAACCTATGCGCCACCACTAACCCCGAAGGTAAGTTACCTCATCATGATTTCCATAATGTTTGCTACGATTGTAAATGTTGTAATTATCACAATCACAGCTGTTGCTGCTGCCAACATCCCACCCCATTATTAATTTCATCTATTACAAGCCACCGTTGCATTCGTTACAACAGGTGACGTGCAGCTGTTACTCACCGATGTTATCTGCATCACGACGCTCACCGCGCACTCACCGCACACTCACCGTCTAACAGGCATGTAACCATTCACTCTCGCCAGGACTCAACGAACTGTCACGATTGTGAGTCACGGTTCTATTCAGGCACCGGAAATTATTGTCTTGCTCTTAACGTCTTTCCCAGTGTTCATCTCAGTGTTATTTGTGGTGTAAGTTTCACTGCATTGGCCTAGATGTTACACTTGCATATCAAAGAAAAGAGCGCATCCGAGAGGACGTCCAATGGAGCAATGAAATCAGGTGCTGGGCGGATTGTTGTATCGAGGGATTGCGAGGGACGGCAGCCGTGGCGTTGACAGGAGGGCCCTTCATCCAGCAGTGGATTGGCCATGGTTGATGATGATGATGGAATCTGAACTAATAAATTCTCACACGTGTGACGGGACGCGTAATGAACTGCGAGCGCCATGATCTATTTCAACAGACAAACTGGTGCGTAATTTCACGCTGACCCGCGCCAGTTTAGCGTTTAACAACCGTTAAAGCATGCAGGCGTACGGACACACAGCAGCGGTTCCCACTCACATGATGTCCATGAGCTTGGCGCAGAGCTGCTCAGCCGCCATGCGCTCCTCCACCTGATCCCCGCTCAGGCTCATTAACTCGTTCTCCCCGTAGAAGCTTCCGAGACCCATCTCACTCTTGCTCCTAGAAACCACAGCAGGGCATCTCTGAATGCTGTAGGAGACAGCTGGGCATCTCACTGGTGTAGCAGACCGCAGCACGTGTGTCAGTGATGCGGCAGACAGTCGTGTTGTCCTCTTCCATGGTGATTTACTATTTACTTATCTTCTCCGTATCTAACAGAGCTGGTGCTTGCCTATAAACATTGGGAATTTTGCCAGCATTGGTGCAAGCAAGCCTGACTGTTGATGAGCCACTGAATGTGGGAATTGGTCCAGTTTTCTTGTACTAATTGAATGCTAATAAAACCACTCCCAGAAGGTCATGTGAGGAGGGGAATTGTCCGTTTCATTAATTTGTTACTCATTCTCCACAATGACGCAAATAATGATTTTGTACCTAAGTTTGGAAAATATGCCTAAAGGTCAAAGCGTGCTTTATACATTGTAGATCACCAACGAGAAGATTACTGGTGGCAGTACTGCAGCAGATAGGACATCTCTAATCGATACAAATCAAAGTGATTTACTGCTCAAATGAACACTGAGGCGATGCATACAGCCAGTGGTGGAAATTCAACTTTCCTACGTCGGTGGCGAGTCTGATCATAGGACAACCACTGTCAACTTGTCCACAAAATTATATTAATTTTATCAACCCCAGAGGAACGATGATGGGTCTAGTCGACCCCCAACTAGGATTTCAAACTCCTTGCCAACCGCTAGCTGCTCGCTCTCCCCCTGGGCCACCGGGCTGGATCACGTGGTTGGTGTGAGCTGAACCAGGCCTCGAGAAGGCCGAGGCCTGCGTGGGTATCGCGCGAGGGAGAGGGTCGCGTGGGTGAGAGGGCGTCACGGTGGCTAGAAAATGTTAACCATCTCGCCGGGTATACAGGAGGTCGTGGGTTAGATCCCGACCCTGACACCTGTATATTTGGAGTCTCTCTCTCCCCGTGGTCGCGTGGCTTTTTGTCCAGGTTCTCTTGTTTTTCCCTCCACATTGAAAATCAACGCGCGTTTAGAGCATATGGCTCCTATACATTTTCGCATGATAATCTACTTTGTTGAGCTATCATTTGTGGCCAGGTTGCTTCTGAATAATATCTATATAGCTCAGTGTGTCTTACCTGGTTAAATAAAAATAGAGTTGAGAAGAAGGTTTTAGTTGTTTAGTTTTAGTTTAGTGGTTGCTGGTCAGTGCGACCGTGCCTGTAGTCCTGGAGTTGCTCCTCGATGACCCTGAGCACGCTCTCCCGAGCTTCTCCCAGCGTTGCCTCTGGGACATCCTCCCGGTTTTTGGCTTCATCTGCAAAGAAATGTGACACTCGGTCAAATATGCAGCGAAGGTTTCGAGGATAGTAAATACTATTGTTTCTTCTTCGTACGGCTGATGTTGATGGTCGAGTAAGAGCTATACATTTAGATTGAGGTGGTTAATGTGCCAGACGGTTGCGCCAGGAGTAGTGGTGTGGTGGATCGCTGCGATGATGCCTCCTTCATATTTTTGAAAACACTTGTGGCTCTAAAATAAGCAAAAAAAAACACGCTTCCCAAATCGGTCTAAGCAGCATGTGGGCAACCCAGGCGTAGCAGCTCTCAGACCTCCAGCACCGACCGCGAGGGTCCCTCCTCACCAAGTCCCCAACGAGCCCCCTTCCTGCTACGTAACAATCCATCTGGCAGCTGCTACACGAGCCAATTTCATCGCTCCATCCCTTCGGTGGACGTTCTTTCTAGCCGTGACGTGTCCTGCCCAAGCCCACGTACTTTTCTTAAAGGTCGATATGTCATCCTTAGCCCTGCATAAGCTCTCTAATCCACGTGTTCATTTTTCCATCTTGGCGTAAATCCAAGCGTGCCTCTCGCGACAAAAAACTTGCAGTTAAAGGACACGGCAGTGGATGCGTGCGGTGAGAAAACCTACCAAACTCGCTCTGGATGGAATCTGCCAGTGTCACCTTCAAGGGCTGTAAAAAACAAACACGGCAACAGGTACAGCAACCGACGCCGTGAGTGAGCACAGGACGCGCTGCCAACACCACAACCTCGCACTTCAACACCAAAGGCATCAAAACTCCGCCGTGGCACGGTCAGAAGACAAAACACCATGGCACCCCATTCCCCATTCGCCAGTCCACCACTTGACCAAGGCCTCCCCATGCCATGCGGGTCCGTGGGGGTTATTTGGGGAACACTTGTGCGTAGGTTTTCGCCGTGACACTGCATTGCTTTCCGACAAAAAGGGCGTATCGCGTGTCGTTTGGCACAACGTCCGACTATTTAGTTCCTGAAGAAGCTCCCAGCAAGCGGAGAGAAGCGTCGGATATCAAATGCCCATCAACACGCGGTATGTCCTGATAACACATCAGACCGCTATGTTTGACCCCATTATTTCGTCTTTGCTGGTAAATGTGGGTTGACCAAGGCGGGCAGGCAGCGCAGTTCTGGAGGCGTGCATGGACAGGACAACAATGGATTTTATGGCATTGCCCCCCGCTGCCCACCACGTAGTAGAGTCGTGCACGGCAGCCCATCACACCCTGGCGTGCATGGTGGCTGTCCATCAAAGCACTATCCGGGCTCTGTATGTCTAGCTTCCGAGATCTGATGAGATTGGGCACATTCTGGGTGATTTGGCCACAGTGCACGGTATAAAACAACACCGAGTCACATGCAGAAACACACATGACACTGAATTTGTATCTATTTGATTTTGTCTTCTTGGTTCTTTCGGTAAAGTCACGTAGAAGGAAAGTAATACAATAATAAAAATATTATTTTATTATGTTTTATTTTTATTATTTTATTACTTCCCTTCTACGTGACTTTACCGAAAGAACCAAGAAGATGAATCCCTGCAGTCACGAAAGCTTTAAATCGAAATATTTGATTTTGCTTCATCGGTTTCTGGAACGTCTGCTGTACATGTGTGGGAGGTTGGCAAACGCGACGATGCACGTGTTTGTGTGTACAAATTGATAAAATTTACACACAGGGGTACAAACGACAGAATTCCACCTTCTGAAGTGGTGTCATCTGGTGTTGCATAAACAGCCAGTGGTACAGTGTTTTGTGTGTGGGTGCAGACCTGCCAGTCTCAGTCAGTTAACCCACAACACTTGAGTCTTTCCCGTGACCTCATGCAGGCAAGATTTCAGCACTTCATGTGGCCTCAAAGTGCACCTAGCCTGGCACATGCGCCGTGGCGAGTGGCTGCCAGTCGACTAAGTTAATCCATAACCGCCTGCTAGTGAGAATTTGACGCTTCACACGTGGCCTCAACGTGCACGCAGCTTGCTTAACCCAAGCGCCGTGGTGACGTTCCTACAACCACTTAGCGGCGAACAGCGGTTGCTATTGTGGCGGCTGCAGATGTACGTCATGTATGCGTGCGTGCCTGGGTGACTGACCGCGTGTCGATCGAGAAAGAGCATGTAAAGGGAAGTAAACATCTTGCGAGGCTCCTTCGAATGTAGAACTGCGTCTGCCATCAGATTCAGCATCTGCACAACAGCCAACGTACACGTTCAATGCATTAGCATCATCATGGCCAGGCATGGTCACACCACTGCTGGATCAAGGCCTCCCCCAATCTGCCGCCATCTCTAGTGATCCTGCGATGCGACAATCCACCTAGTACCCGCACACGAGCCACTTCATTGCTCAACCGCATCAACGGACGTCCTGACGATCCCTAACAAGGGTGAAACCGGGACACATTTGTCTCATTGTCCTGCTGTTGGCTAAAATAACGCGGCTACGATTAACTATTTTTTTCAGTTGCTGCTCTAAATAAAAGGTTGCGTTCATTAAACGCGCAGTACGCTGCTGTCACGTGACACGCAAGGCATTATGGGAGGATCGATCCAGTGGTTACAGACGTGCCTCTTGCCGTCTTAAAAACAACCTTGTGCGTGTAGCATCGCTCTTATTCGTTTCCAGCCGGTACGGACGTTGCTCCTCATTCACAGCAAGCGCTACCATCAGTCCGCCCACACAGGACACAGCGCCTGCCCACCCATCGGCCGGTTCAGCAAACAGGTCTCACCAGCGGTGCAGGGTCGTGCTGGGACACCACGTACTGCAGGAACACCGCCATGTGTGCCGGCCGCTCCTTGACCCTCTCCAGGCGCGCAAACACCGCTTGGTTATCGGCCTGCAGCCACGCGCACACACAAAGATCTCCCTGTAGCCCGAGCGGACTGCTGGTACAAGGATCGGCCAAGCACACGTGCGCACACCTGTACACGCGTACACGTGCTGCTTACGAACCGGACATCTGAAGAGGATTTACCTGTGCAATGTTTATTAGTATCAATTTCGGCTTGACTGAGGTAGGGAAATCATCCCAGATCGCACTCATCGTCTTCAAGAATCCTCCACGGACGCGCCCCTACCTACCTCTCCCCATTGATCTCACTCTACTCCCCTCCACGCCATCTCCTACCCCTTTCCACTAACCTCAAGACCTTCCTTAAAGGTTTTCCCAATGACTGTCTCTCTCTAGACAATAATTACACCACAATGCTTCTGTGCAGCATCTCGACATGCAGTCCTGTTTAGATGTGAAATAAATCCAAATTTTTAAGTGGATGGAGTTAATGCATAAACACTTCAACCTTAACTTAAACGGTAGGTTTTCATAGCCAATATAATTAATCGAGATTTGTTTTTGGGTTAGACCATGTGGTGGTAATTTTATGCCAATAAACTAGTCATTAATCCTCCACTAAACATAGCCCAAGGTCTGCGATCCTCAATATATAAAAAAGTTATCTGGCAATTAATGAGTGGTCATACATGTTGGAGGAAACCAGAGCTCCCGGAGGAAACCCACGCGTGCGAGGGGGCAACACTCCACCCCACACAGATGGATCAGGTGGAGTCCACAATTTCTGCTGCACAGACTTCTCCCGGCGAGCCAGAGTACGACAGCTTGACGCCCACGGGGAGTTTCACGACGTTTAGCGATCCGCCGAACCCTCGCCTCCGCAGTGCTGGGTTACAAACTGCTTTCAGCTTGGAATTCAAGTGCATTCAACCTTAATTGTAAAGCAGAGGTTGAGAGCACCTCCGATTAGCACGGTTGGCTACGTACGGTGCGAAATAAGTTCAACATACAGACGTACAAAGCACTGACAATTGCAAAGGGAGCTGGAGAAAAGTGTGCGCTCCATGCAGCTGAACCCACCCCTGCCTTACCTGCTCGCTGTCTGAAGGAAAGTCCTCATCCTCAGGGCCGATGATGGAGTGCTGGGGGAAGATGGTTGTTGGTGGCGCACTGCACGGTGGAATCTGCCGCACAACACACAGTTCCTTGACGTCACCATCATCGGCCCTGGTCTAAACTACGGGGTGAGGGCCTCCTGCAGCCCTGTGGGTTATTTCTACTATACTTCACAACGCTCATCAGTGTGGGCTGGGAAAGTTGGGGTGCATTCACAGGAGCACAGAAGTACGGTACAATTGACTTTGCTGCGCTAATGTCCAGCACACTGCCACGCAATGACCTACAACGCCCATCATACACGGTGGTCGCCCATCCAAGCACTATTCGAGGTGAACCTTGCTTTGCTTAGCTTTTGGGATCTGATGAGAGAAGAGAAAGAATGGGAAAAGGATGGGAAAGTGACAGAGAAATGGAAGCAAAGGGTCAGGAGAGATGAGGAGAGGGAGGAGGGAGAGGCTACATTAGGGCCTCAAGCTGCTGCTACACGGATGAGGAGCAGCGTCTGTCTTCACAGCGGGTGGTGGGGAGAGGGGAGGGGTTCGGAGTGGGGCTGGGCACACAGGAGTCACGTGATTCATGGGATGCTTAAGCTGATTTAAATAGATTTGTCAGGTCAGAATATTTGAGAAACATAAAACAACAAACGATAATCACCTAGTAACGATATTCTGAAACAGACGGTATGATTATCGTGGATCTCGTCATCATCATTATCAGCCGTGGTCAATCCACTGCTGGATGAAGCCCCCCCCATAAGCCGCCACCATCTCTCACGGCCCTGCGATGCAACAAGTAAATCTAATACTGTACGGTAGATCGTGGGCAATAATACCATGTGGTTGACAGGGATGTCGGAGTGAGTGGAGTGAATGTCATGTGACATGGCACGTCGGGCTGCCCCCTTGCCACTCGCCAGGCTTGAGTTTTCCTCCAGGTCCTGCAGCTTCTTGCCCATAAAGTTCTGTTGAACGGAAAATAATATTCAGTAATATTTTAAAATGCTCATATCGTGCCATTCATTCAATTTGCTTCTGAAATCGCTGCACAATTTGTAACGTGCACAGTTTACGCACAGGCGCGCGGGAATCAACAGGCAGGCAGGAAGGCAGCCAGAACCAGTGACAACAATTTCCCAAGCTCTGTGTTCCTATATTGGTATGGCTCAGCCAACTCCGTTAATGTGAGTTAGATACACGTGAGAAGAAACGGGGAAGGGACCCAGGGAAAACCCATACGTGCAAGGGGTTACACGGAATCCTTGTACAGATCGCAATTAACCCAACTGCTGTACTGCCATCATACCCTCGCCTCCATGAGTTTGGTTAAGTCGGTGTTCTTCATTGCAAGGCCCGTGGGCCACTGGCGGCCCCTGACATGCTGTCCCCCGACAATAAACAAATGTGAAACCCCCCCCATCATCTTCGTGTTGCTGTCAAACCCAAATGTTTCAAATGTGTGGCGGCCCTCACACTGGTGATGTCTTATCGGTGAATGTGGCCCTCATCTTAAAATTAGTAAACAACACTAGGTTAAGTAAAGTCAATGTTGTGGGTTTACTCTCCCACACACCGGTGTGCTGAAGTCATAACCAATTGGCAGGTTTTGTTTACGTGACAAACTTTACCAATCGGCTGTGTCGGTGGTGCCGAGTTTAATGACACATTTATATTTATGCGATTTTAAAAAAATCTAAAAACCCTTTATTATGGATTACACTGCGTTAAGTCAACGCGACGAGTTGAACAAAACCTCGACTGCTGCCATTCTCGTGTTTTGTCGGCGGAATGCGGTGGCGGTGGCGTGGGGGCGGTGGCAATACGGGCCGCCACGGTTACCTCTGGCAATGAGGAGAGAAGGTCGGGCTGGCCGGCGGCATTTTCCTCACCATGCTGCCTCACCACTGCACACACACAACAACAACAGCAGCATCAGCATGAGACTCTATCCTGCTCTCGAGAGTTCTCTCCTGGTTAAAACAAAATAAAATAAACTTCCAACATCACCATACACTGCACAGTAGAGCAACAATAACTATTCATTGCACAATACATGACTGCCGTTCAACGCACGCTACGTTAACAACCACGACCTTCCCAGAGTGGCCCTGGTACAGATCTCCGGTGCCAGGTGCGGTGCATTCAAGCGTGTATGTGGGACCGTGGGCGCATGCATGGTAACCAAAAACATGAGCGTGACATTTTCGAGGACTTCCAGTCTCAATAAAGGTCACCGATGTCAAATGATAAAACACGCTTTCTGTGAATATACGTAAACATAACAGCGCATACAACTATGGCTCATACACAACAACATTCTCCGTCCTTCTCCTGATGCGTAGACACGGTAAAAGTTCTCGAGCCATTCTAGAGTTAGCTAGAAGTCACATGAAGAGAGAAGGCCGCCCCAACTAAATAAATAAAAACTATCACCGGAACACTCTTCCTGCGCCTAATCAACTACGCACGGTAAGATGTGATGCGCATGTGCGCTGCCAATTCTCAAGCTATATACTTATTTGTTGCATCCAATCAGTGAATCCGCTCCCTTGGATACCCCGTGCGCCACTTAGGTGCTGTCTCGTCCTTGTGACATTTGTGTTTACATTCATTTCACAAATAAAATGAATTGATGCCCGCCAGAATATATCTGCAGTCTTACATGTCCCGAGAAACTGACCCTTTCAAGCACTTCGCAGTGATGGGAAGTTATAGAATTGTACATTTGGTAAACCGAAAGGGGAGCGGAGATGAGGAGATGTGTCATAAGCAGCTTCACACTGTGTCCTTGCCAGCCTGTGAGCTCACTCATCAGGTGACCCGGGAGTTGAGTGCTCGGCTCGCAGTCGCAAGCTTTGCGAGTTTGATTCCCCGATCAGGAGTATCGACTTGGCCCATCACCGTTCCGAGGACAGTAAAATTGAGTACCACTTAGTGGAGGAAGTCAACAGCAGTCGCTGCCTTAAAAAAAATTCCTCATCTCCATCATAGGAATGTGGAATTACCACCACTGGCTCAGTGGAGCATCAAGCTTAAATGGGTGGGAAACCCCTCATATGTGCAGTGTTTTGAAATAGTTCCAAACAAATTTCAGCAAAATTCCAAACGACAAAATTTTGCTCAAGATCTCCGCAACGCGATCAATTGCACCACACAAGTATTGCGACAGATCATACGCCAGTAGACAAAATATAAAAATAACGTGTCTGCTGCAGCTTACCGCACTCCAGGGACGAATATGAATTGTGGAGGTGCGAGTTATCCTCGCTTTATGCGGTTTCAGTTTGTGCAATTTCGGGTCTATGCGGCTGACCTATTTCTACCCAAAATTTACTCTGTGCGGTTTTAATTCACTCACCTGCGGCTATGAACCGCCAAGGCAGGCAGCTGTCTTGGTGGTGCATTGTGGGTTGAGTGATTGTGCGGCCCAATGATAAATGATCAATGTTGTGAAAGTCGATTTCAGTTATCGTGCCGAGCAAATAAACTGTTACACCACGAGAACTGCTGATTGTTGTTGCTCTGCTCAAATTTACACTCTGGTCAACATTTATTTAAGTATTTTTCAAAACACATACGACAGAGACATCCTCAGTGTTTAATACTCACACTTGGCACCACTCTTGCTTTCTTGAAAACCATCAACAAAGTCCTGGAACAACAAGAGCCACGGGTCATGTTAATGGCCAGTCGAGACTTCTCAATCAGTTTGTTAGGTGACAGACGGGGATGGTGGTTTGGTCGGTGGTAGATGGGCGGGGGTAAGCTTAGTCTTAGTGCAGCGTTAGTCACGAACCTGCGTCCCATCACCGGCCCTGCGGAGCCGCTGCTCTAGCTGTTGGATGCGAGCTTCGATGCTGCGGATCTCGTTGATCAGATGAGGAACTTCCGCGCTCCGTGGATCCTCCAACAAACGCTGCAGCACGCACGCACCCAGGGCATCGGCAGCAACAGCAGGAGAATTGAAATATTACATAGAGCAGAAGCAGCAACACTTGTACTAGTTCCACCCACACTCAACTGAAGAACTCACATAAGAACCATCTACACACAACAGCAGCAGTACTCTCACGGGTACGACACAGAGACACTCGCACAAGGACCATTTAAACGCAACAGTCGTACTTACACAAATAATTTGTACGTAAAATTCTGGGCCTATTGAAAGCGATTTTACTTCTGAGTGCTGGGCAGTAGTTCATATTGAATTTTAAATACAAACGGTACGTAATACAAGATATAAATTGGAGCAGCACTGTACTATACTGTGGTCACTGTACACGACAGTAGTATTAAACAGAGACTGCCAAGTGCACGCTACTTTACTGCGCAGCGTGAAGACACCAGCGATCAACATTTACTAGTCACCCAATAAACCTGACATAACATGGGGACACAATATATCCGCTGACGTCGTTTCAAGGACAAACTTCTCTGTACTATTTTAAACCGACATTATTGAGGTTCAAACAATAAAAATGCGAATGCACATCATTGTTTTTTAAGATCGTTTGGCTTTATTACTTTATAACTTGTTTATTAATTCTTGCTGACGTGTCTGTCTGCCGGCTGAATCACGCTCGAAAAGGAGCTGTATAACTCAATGGGTAATTTACTTCGAAAATAAACTCCTAATTCTGAAAGTGTCGCCCACACACACACACACACATGAGAAGCACCGACACCACAGCCACGACCTACAGAAAACTAGGGGAAGGTCACCGAATACGAGCACCCACATAAGAGTCACCTGCAAACCCCACCCCTCCAACCCATCCTCCCCACCCCACCGTGCACTGACAACAAACGTGCCAAGCGCACGCAATTATCCACGGTGTCACACGCACCGACTCGAACGTCAGCCATCACCGCAATACGAGAGTCACAGCTCGCTGGAGGAATGTCGCACGGGCAACAAGGGCGAGACTGGAGATTGGCGACGAGTTGAAAGTGGCAGCGACATACACCGTAACAAGTTACATCTATGGCTTTCAAAAACACCTGTTCAGGCTATCGATACACCCCGCACAGATAGCCCGAACAGAAAGTTGGGACAAGCGCCGTTAGCGTGGCGTACCTCCCGCTCTTCCTTGGCTTGCTCGAGCATTCGCTGAAGGCCTGGCCTCCCGTCACGCAGCACGCCCCGGTGCTCATCCTGTGCAAAGGAGGCAGAGCGCGCGTAAAGACAACGATCCCCCGTGTAGCACACGCAGACCGCAGGGATCACGCGCTGTGAACAGATAAAGGAGCTGTTGGTTAGAGATGGAACGAGTCATCGATTCGTCGAAAATAAATTGTAATCAACCGCTTTTGTGGTCCATTACTTTGGAGACTTGAATCATGGTGCCCCCGCCGACATCCTGCCGTCTGAAGGCGGGAGTCCGCCTGCCAAACCACGTCTAGCGTGATGCGCCTGACGATGCCAATGTCAGCAAATCCTGCCCACACACCTCCCCCGTTCAGCGGCACACGCAGCAAAAGGATGATCCTTTTTCCCCCCATACTATTTTCGCGTTATGCGATTAGTTGAGCAACAGAACCGATCATTGGTTGAGTCATCAATTAGTGGGATAAAATTAACTAATTATACCCCCCAACCCTGCTCAGTCTGCGTGTCGGGGCAAAGTTAAAGAGACAAATATCCCCGACATAGCTGATACACACTTTTGGGGACAGTGCCGTTAGCGAGCACGTATTAAGGCTGGCACGGCTCACGAGCGGGCTGGAGTGGTGTGGCGGCCACCACCACCACCACGGCCCAGCCACCTTTGTCTCCCAAGTGCTGATGTCTACACACCGCACCAGATAATGGCCGAGCAACTCGAGGGGATGTCAGGGATCAGTCTAGAGCATAGAGTGCACAGTACAACAATAGATTCTCACTGCACTGCCCTCAGCTACCGCAGCCTGTGGCAACTTGGGGTGCATGATGGTCACCACCCATCAAAAGCGCTGCACAGGCTTAAGCCTGCTTGGCTTCCGAGATCAGGTGAGATTGGACGTATTCCAAGTGATTTGGTCACAGGCTAGGTACATGTTAACACCACGCCCTGATATAACATATTCCACACACAAGGCACACGCACAGCAAGCCACAACATAGCGGCTCCATCACATCCCTCCCCTCTGTATGAAAGATTCCTATTTTAAGTCGCTGAAAGGTTGCAATCCTACAAAGGGCTCTTCATAAGTCTGATATGCACAGCCAAGCTGAACATACAAAGTGACTACAGTTAGGTTCAGTGCAGGCCACAGGATATGTTAGAGAACATACACATCTGTTCTTTAATACCCGTCAGCAGAAAGCCATTGCTGTACTGTGCTTCTATGCTCGTAAGTTTTACTCCCTGACTTCACCAAAGCGTACTCACCATCATGGTGAAGTACGTTAATGGAACAACCCCTACGGCCCGCACGGCACGAGGTGACCCTCATCCAGCAGCGGACTGCTGTCTGTGTACACTGGAGCTGGGATATCCGATTATCAAAGTAATTGACTGCTCTATCGATAATTATCGATTCGATTACTCGACTGACCGGATAATGCGAAAATAGTTGTGAGAAAAAAAAAAGTCCGGTTTCCATTCCCACCACATCTTGCCGCTGGACGGGAGGTGACGGGCAGTGCTTGGTGACACCACCGGCTTCACCATCAGCCGTGTGTCACGCATGCCGGGCGTGACTCGCAGGGGGTTTCCTACCTTCATGAAGCAGGATGTGGAGGCAGCCATGGTTTTTTAAAAGGAGTCCCCGAGTAATCGACAACAACACAAGCAGTCCAGTGTAAGTTCTTGTTGATTAATCGACTTGACCAACCCGTCGTCCCGGCTCTAATTTACACGCCCCGACAGACAGACGTGTCGTCCTCTCCCTGCTAATGCCTCATACGGCAAAGCGCCTTCATGACAAACGAACTCGGGACAGCCAAAGGAACGTTCGCACAATGCACCGTGCCATGTACTTTACGGATAAATTACACTCACAGTATTTACCAGGGTGGCCCCCTGGACTCTAATCGCAAACCTCTTCCGCAACAAACCAATTTCTTTAGAACTGCTTCTCGTGTTCAGTTCATTGTCCTTCCCCCGCACCTCCGATCAGCACGGTTGGCTACGTACGGTGCAAAAGAAGTTCAACACATATACATACGGAAAAAAACTGCGCCACCGCTGGGGGGCGACGGCAGATGCCGCTTACGTTTGTTCCGGGGGACGAGCTGCTGCTGTCCCTGGAGCCGGCGAGCTGGGAGGAGTTGTGGTCAGGCGAGAGGCCCGGCGAGCCCACCAGGGACAGCAGGCTGTCGTGGCGCGCGTCGGCGAGCGATGGCGGGGGCTCGGGGCAGCCGGGGGGCCGGCCCAGTAACGTCAGCGCCACGTACGAACCCGCTGAGGACACGAGGAAGGCGGCAGTTTTGGACGATGTCTCCGACGTACGATTTCCACGGTCGAGGTGATAAAGGGCCTGGCAATGTATTTCCTGCGCCATGAGCAGCAGGAGGGCCTCCGCTAGAGGCTCGAGGTAAGCCCCTCTAGGGGGTATCTTGGCCTACTCTTTCACGTTGGAAGAAGTGGGAGTACCTCACACAGCGTTTACATCGATGTGAACAGAAAACCTCTTATGACGCCCGCATAGCAATAAATATTGTACTTACACTTGATGAGCTTGACAACTTCAAGGTGATTCGACTGGGTAACCAGTGTCCCATTGACCTACAGAAGATAAACTTGGCGTTAGCACGGTTACGAGTGCGACTTTAATCGACAGCAGCAGAGCTGTACGCACACACGCACAGCCACAGCAAATGGCGACACCTGCTAGTGCCGAGCAATTCTCACGATTCCGAGTCAGGAAGCTTGACGTGACTCTTGAAGCCGAATCCAAGTCCTAATCGTATCGCATCACCGACAGTCAGAAGCGCTGATGTTTCCTACGCAGATGCTTCCGATTATTGCCAGCAGGAATCCCATTCCATTTGATTTGAAATGCAGGAATTGGCCTTGTTACATAGATTCTGTGCACAATAGAGAAATTGAAATGTCTCTTACATCTTACCGTATTCCCCTGTAATTTGCAGCTAAAAGTTAAGGATGCATCTTGTCGTCCACTACGTGTGTGTGTGAGCATATTTGTCTAAGCCTTTTGACATTGCACAAAACTTTTGGGTGTGTCTTACCTTCCGAAATGTCTTAAAATAATCTGGAGAATACGGTGATAGTACTGCCAATCTAAGGAAATGCCCAAAAAATGCACGTTCATATGAACTGATAATTCTCCATTAAAATTAATGGAATCCCATTAGCAATCCTATAGATCACCACCACATGCCAAGCTTTGGAAATTCCCCCATATAAAAAAATATATTTCCAACTCCAAATATGGCATTACTGCCATTGGGAATCGATAAAAGGATCCCATTCAAATGAATGAAGATTTTAAGGTAAAATTCACCAAAATAAATCATCAGGATTTCTGCCGGCAATACCTCCTACTTCTTGACTTAAAGCTTTAGTGACTGCAGGAATTCATATTCTTTGGGTCTTTCAGTCAAGTCTCGTAGATAGGTCAAAATTTATAAAAATAAAATAAACAAAAAACTACGAGGTTTCGATCACAACACACGCGATCGTCATCATCTTTTTTTCCTCCTGATGACGATTGCTTGTGTTGTGATCGAAACGTCGTAGTTTTTTGTTTATTTTATTTTTAATTAATTTGAACCTATCTACGTGACTGTACCGAAAGACACAAAGAATAATACCTCCTACTGCTTACTGCACTCCAGTCTTTGCGAACGACCATGGCGCACCTTCCCATGTTTACCAATCTTCTCCCTTTTAACACCAATAAGGTTGTTACACGCCACGCATGCCTGATGCTTGCTGAACACAGTTCACGTAACGTAGGTAGCATCGGACTCAAGTTAAGATTGGGAAATTATTTGTGGGATGTATGAAAGCGTGTCCCACGTGGCATAGAGAACACGGATTCAAATTAAGCTAGCGGTTGAATGTGTAAGAGTGCACGCTTGTCCCACAATGCGGAACTTATTCAAAATTAAGATAAAGACCTTATGTGTGGATGTATGAGCGCGTGTGCCTGTCCCAAGTGACATAGATAGTGCTTATCAATTAACAAAGAGATCTTGTGTCTGCGTGTCCCCACTTGATGATAGGTGCTCGCTAATAGCAATTGCCCCGACAGTCGATGTAGGCTTTGCAGGGATCTAGGGCTTATTCACGTAAATAATATTCTGATTCTGTTTGTAAATGTGTGTGTACCTGTGGATCATAGGAGTGGGGCGGGAAGCATGCTGCACTAAGAAGCCAGAGAGCCGAGTTCTATTCCCCGCTCATGGTCAACACCTGTGACAATTATCTCAACAAGTGGGCCTCTCCAAGGTCCACTCAGCCTCAAATGAGTACCAAGTGCAATATTTAAACATCACCACTTGGGAGACAAAGGTGGCCGGGTGTGATGCTGGCCGTCCACCCTTTTGTGTGCCGTGCTGGCCTTCATAGGTGGTCGCTAACAGCACTTGCCCCAAAAGTGGATTAAGGCTATACGGGGGTTCCTTGTCTTTGTGCACCTCATGTGTCTCACCTAACATAGATAGCGCTGATTCATATTAAGATAGTGATCATAGGTGTAAGAGTGTACACGCTTATGTCCTAACCGGGCCACAGAGAATGCCGATTAAACTTAAGTTAAAGATCTCCTGTGTGTGCGCGCGCACGTCCCACGTGACGCAGACGAAAATAGCTTACCTAAGCACTATCCACGTCACCTTGAAGAGAGCTGACACTATTGTTATAACTACCGTAAGGCACCAGCATCACCATGCTTGGATGATGCCAAGAAATGCATTCTCTTCAAGCCAACCACTCTCACGCTAGGGGCTACAACAGCCTCGTTTGTTTAACTGTCAGTGCCCGCGCCTCCCTCTCCCGTAGCGTTCCCTCCAACTTTGGATACACGCTACTGTCTTATCGTCAGAATCCTCTATCTCGTCGTCACATCTTGGCCTGCCTTCTCGTTCCTTCGGCCAATGGCAGCAGCTCTCTAGCCACTGTCGGCAACTCCCACACTGGTGGCAGCTCCTCCTCCCTTTATATTTGTCATGCAAATTCCATCTCAAAACGAATTCATAACGTGGCGCAGTTTTCGTGCGGAGGCACGGGGGGTAAACCACAGAGAAGTGGAAAGGCAGCCAGAACCGGCGGCACAAACAATTGCTCGAGCTCTATGGGATGTATGGCCAACTCCTTTGCTCTGGGGAGTGTTAATATCATTGACGATATTAGTGACGGCAGTATTCGTCATCCAATGATGACTCTCAATAGAATAAAATCATCAACCCTGACGACTAATAGTAATAATTTCAACTTGTAACGCACTGCACGGTATTCGCTTACTCTCGAAGAGAGACGACTCAGGAGGTGCGAGGGACCACAGACAAGCAGGAAAGGCAGCAGCCAGGTGGTGAGCTCAACCCCTGCAGTCTTCTATAGATTAAGTTGTAATCGGCCGAATAATAAGTGTTTACATGTGGGATGAAACAGGAGTACCGGGAAGAAACCCACACGAGAGGGAAACACTCTATCCCACCAAAGACTAAACCATGATTTGAGGCTCAAGTACCAAGTCCGCATAATGACCCAGACTACGATCATTTCGTAACGTCATGAGACTGCATGGCGCAGAGGAAACCCCAAGAATAGAGATTGGCTACGTGTGTAATCGTATATATAATTCTCACGGAGTTACTGTATTTTACATTTGGCAGACCCAAGAGATGTCCCATGGTCTGTGTTTTACCACAGTCACATGTGTGCCAGGGCCGTTGGAGAGCAGCCCCACATCCGCACGTTCGCATTTGACCTGCCAAGTCCCATCCGAAAGGGAGGGGGCATCTCCACGCATAAGCCGGCTGAATTAACACCGGCCCTGACCCAACAAACTGCTCATGCCAAGCTCCTCCGTCGAGGCACCTTAATGATGCGATCTCCCTGCTGTACTCCAGCACGCATGGCCGCGCCATCTGCAAGAGAAATCACACAAGTGACTACGCTGCCCGAAGAGTAATTAATCACAAAGGGAAACACACACACACACCACACATCACAACATCGCAAATACAACCGTCACAAATACACCCTGATCAATAAACTGCCCAAACCCAGTGGCGTATGTGTGCACAGTGGTGTGAACGGTCGTATTTTTATAGACGTTCACAAATCCGACCACTTTCACGAACAGTCAGGCGTTCTTAATCTCGCGTAAACTTGCGTGCAAAGAACAATAACACCTTCTCCCTACAGCCAAAGCAGTCGGCGTTTTATTTGTGGCCAGTGACCTTCTTTGTCTGTGGTGGTGTAACCATCATTTTCGAAAAGGTTGTCACACATCTAACATTTTCACAAATCCCCCCTCGGTCCCCAGCGAGTTGAGATATGCGACGTACAGTACGATAACTCTTGTCGCCACTTACTGCAGGTCACATTTAATCTTTTTAAGACATTAAGCACGCATAATCAGCAAACATGTAAGATAAAACCATCACGCACACATGCGGGATTATTTACCGCTTTCCAACGTGCGTGCGTATTCACAAGCATTTAATTCACGGTACAGAGGGGACAGAAAGCCGTTAGTGCCAAATGCGTTTGCAGAATTGAAAACACGTCCTATTTGCTGATTTGTGTTTCCCAGGTTTCAATGTGTTAATAAAACCGACTATTAAATAAACATCTACACAGTTTACCCAGTTCCTACATCAAATTCTGCACCGATTGGCTCTGCTGCACAGGGCACACAAAGGCTCTCGTCTCATATTTAAAATACGCTGCACAAGTTACCTTTCCGGACAGACTGCACAAACACGGGGTTGTCTCCGCTGACCGTCAACCCAAAGCCAAACTCGTCTTTTTGGACAATCACGCATCTCTGGACCATTCCTGTATACACACACGCACACAAAGACAAGAGATGCCCCCAGCCCACGTATAGCTCTTTAGCAGGATGCTGAGGCACGTGCTGTTAGCGAGCACCTATACGAAGACAGCCACGGTGTGGCTAGCACCAAGGCAGGCCGCGTTTCTGACTCCCCCAGGGCCGACGTTTACACAGTGCAACCAGGTACTCGCTCAAGGCCGGGTTCGACTCAGGACTGGTTCGTATATCCAGAACCGACGTTAGCCGCGGACAGGAATCCAACTGGGGTCGTTGGGGTTCGTTGTGCAGTGCGCCGACCCACTGCGCTTCTGTTCCCCACACGCGCGCATGCACAACAACTCCATAAAGACAAGCCGATGAATGCGGTTGGTGCTTGAACCTTCGAGAAGAGTTAAAATAAATCGTACCTTTAGATTAAACGCCCTGTGGTTTAAGTCTTAGGTTACATCTCACCTGCTATGAAGATTTCAGAGTAAGTTCTATGCCATGTATACAGAGCCCTATTTGTCAATCCAACACCGAATGACAGCCTCCCCAAAACAATACAGCTCGCAGGGGTTATCTGGCCATATGCTGGGTGCATAGTACAGCATAACAATGCATTTCGCTGTAAGTCTGTAAATAAAGTAGTCCCAACATCTTTTTTGCGCACCGTGATCGCTCATGTAAAAAAAATTAACAGGCTCAAGTCGGCTTAGCTTCCGAAGACCGGTGAGATTTGGCGCATTCTGTTCTCGGAAGCCAAGCGGGGTGTTCCCCAAATAAATAAGGTGGTAAAGGTGCAGCCCTGCAATTGCTTGCTCAAACTACTGCTGGTAGAATATCCTCCGTGAGAGGGAGCTCTGGAAAGCCCCCTGTATAGAGGGCATTTAGCAAATCTCCTTCACACTGCCCAGACGTCTTGAAAGAGGTGCGATTCCCCCACACTTTACCCCACCACATGCAACCCGCCGGTCGACTAACTGCGGTGCCCCTATTTATGCTGCCGTTTGGTGGACAGAAGTGGTGACAGAGCATTTTCTGAAACGTGTCCCAACATTTCAACTACCCGCGTCGGGAGATTGAATCGTACCAGCGACCTGGATCGCAAGTCCCGTGTGCTAACTATTACACCACTGCGGCAGCACCCCGAATGAATTCAACGTGAAAAAAAATCTAAACTTCATCTGCAAAATAACTGTTCATTAATCGCTGAACGACGGCAAAACAGAATAACGTGACAATTCTTACCATAGCTCTGCACATGTGGAGCTGTCATGACAATGGAAAGCCTTCCCATGGTGTCTATGCGGCATCAGCAGCAGCGACGACGACAGCAGAGGCAAGAGAGAAGGATGTAATAGAGTGCGGAGTGCAAACACAGTGTTCAACACAGAGCTGAAGAAAAGACGGACTGTTCCCCACAAACAGACACAAGTGTGGGCAGGCCCAGAAAATGAAACAGCGGCCAGGGCACTCGAGCTTTCTACAAGGCTTGGTTATGTTGTCGTTGCAGTGTTGCAAGGCATATGTACATCCCTTTGTCAATCCGCTGCTGGATAATGGCTTCCTCCTCCTCCTCCCCTCCCCGATCCCATGCTGTGCGACACGTGGGGGGTTATTTGACAGTACTTCACCAGGCTGGTCAATGTGGGTTGTTGAAGGTGGTAGGAAATACTGGTGCAGGAGCATAGAACCGCAGAACAGTAGACTCAACACATCCGTCAATAATGCCGTTAAAAGGAAAAATATAGGACAATGTGGAGTGGGGGGAATAAGGAAAACGTGCAATTAAGAAATTCCAGAGTTGACGAATGTGTTGAGTTTTTTGTTATTTGCGCTTGTGCACCACTGCCAAGGTAGCATCACCAACTAATTGGTTTAATTTTACAGAATAATGGATTTTTCTGCACTGTCCTATACCGACCACCACGTAGCAGAGCCCCACAGCCACCTGTGGCAAACTGGCGTGCATAGTGGTCACCCATTCAAGCGCTATCCAGGCTCAAACCTTGCTTAGCTTCCGAGATCGGGCACTTTCCAGGTGATTTTGTCATAGGCTAACTACAATGTGTAGAACTTCGAGTAACTCATTAAACTAAAGCTTCATTTGACGTGTAACTGCGGGGAGCACATATGCTCGAAACTATACGTGACACTGGGGGAGCAGTAAATCCCCACTCCAGGAACGCAATACATCGGCACGATTAAGAGTGGCCAAGTAGATAAAAAAATGTATTTTTTTATATTATAAATATTGTGGTGACGAGTGACCTCTTAGTGGCTGCAGTTGTCCTGTGAATCAATTACGTACGTATCGAAAAACAATTTGATTCTTACATCGGCGATTCCACGCGTGAATCTTGAGCATGATAACAGACATTCATCGAAGCCACAAAAAAACTGAACATTTTATCGCGCTAAGAATGGGCATATTATTACATACCAAATAATAATAATTACACATGTACATAGAACACGGCAATTATAATTGCATTCAGGACTACGACGTGGGGAGGCACTAGATGGAAGTGCAGCACAAGCCATCGTTGTACCGTGTATTTCTATGCTCCCCGCCTTCACCAACCAGCACTGACTCAGCGTGAAACCCGGTGAAATAAATCCCCATCACCCGTGCAGAGCGGGGAGGCTTTCATCCAGCAGTGGATTGACAAAAAGGAGTCTGCACATCTGCAATCTGCAAGTGCCTTTACTGTATTCCCAGCTCCCCTCTCGCCAACATTCATTCTACGCACGACTGCACCATCTTTTAAAACCAACCCTCATTGCATACACGGCCTGCATGCGTATTAAATTACAGCAGATATTCTAGTTACCGTTCATTGCAAGCAATGTAAAATGTTTTAAATTATATTTTTTTAGCAAGTTGCGTGTTGTGTTACGCTTAAAAAAAATAATCATACCAATTATTTACTCAGGTGAAACTAATCGTTTGACATGCGGAACGCACCTCTCACATGTCAGGTGACCCAGTGTGTGTCTGGAGTTGACCAGCCACACAGTTATCCCATTCAGACTCAAGACTTTATATCAGCCCACTGAGCTAAACAGCTCTGTCATAGAGACAACCACAGGCCAAGACCATCAGCAGTGGCGGCAGTTACAAGACATTGCAGGGTGTGAGGCACTCAGGTTAGTCAAGCACATATTTGAATATACACATTATATTATGATAATTATTTAACTAGGAAATCGTTATTGATTTTCTATTCGAGTAACGTGTGTGGCCAATTCCATTGATGTGTTTGGCATTGCGGGAAGAAACTGGAGTGCCCAATGAAAATAGCTGCATAGGAGGAAATATCACTCCAATTTGAGCACAGTTAACATTCAATAACACAGATGAGATTCAATCCAGTGAGTTGACCAAATATATCAGTGGACCGCACTCATTGCTGTACTATCATCTATTGTCACCTCAGAGCCCTCAAGTGCCAACACAGTCATTACAGACATTATCAGAAGAAATGTTCTTTTTGCATGAACACACACACACGCCAACAACATACAGCTAATTAAAGTCTGGTGAATGGCTCGAGATTGCACAAACCTGTGGCGTCCACATCGAAAGAGTAGGACCTCTCCACGCTGACACAGGCCCCTGATCTCCCTTCCACCGGAGGGCCTTCTGGCCTGTAGGCAAAACAACAACGACGCAGGTTCATGGAGTCAGCGCCGACGGCAGAGGGAACGACGACCACGCGTCTCGTCCTAACCACGACGAAAAACTCCCATCGAGATGTCCGGGTCGAAGCATTCAGCCGGCACCGCCAAGACCCCGGGATTCAAATCTGGCCAAGCAGCCGTGCATACGCCGGGTTATCAAGTCTGGTGTGCCGATTGGCCTCAGCGTGGTCGCCAATGACTGAACGCCAACATCATCACGTTAAGTTTGGTTCTTCACCTTCATTTGGCGGGGTCCCAGCTCTGAGACTTCAACACTTTTGGGTCCATCGCCATACAATGAGCACTCAGTTAGAGGGCTCCCCTATACCGCCTATAGAGGCCTTGTGGAGTGTGCGGGGTGAGGCGTGTGTGGGGTGAGGCGTGTGTGGGGTGAGGCGTGTGTGGGGTGAGGCGTGTGTGGGGTGAGGGGCGTGTGGGAGTGTGGGGTGTTGGGTGTGTGGGGTGAGGCGTGTGTGGGGTGAGGGGGTGAGGAAGTGTGGGGTGTGTGGGGTGAGGGGGGTGGGGTGTGTGGGGTGAGGGGGGTGGGGTGTGTGGGGTGAGGGGGGTGGGGTGTGTGAGGTGAGGGTGTGTGGGGTGAAGGGGTGTGTGGGGTGAGGGGTGTGTGGGGTGAGGGGTGTATCGTGTGGGGTCAGGGGGTGTGGGGTGTGTGGGGTTAGGGGGTGTGGGGTGAGGGGTGTGTAGTGTGGGGTGAGGGGGTGTTGGGTGTGTGGGGTGAGGCGTGTGTGGGGTGAGGCGTGTGTAGGGTGTGTGTAGTGTGGGGTGAGAGGTGTGTGGGGTGAGGGGGTGTGGGGTGTGTGGGATGATGGGGTGAGGGTGTGTGGGGTGAGGCGTGTGTGGGGTGAGGTGTGTGTGGGGTGTGTGTAGTGTGGGGTGAGAGGTGTGTGGGGTGAGGGGGTGTGGGATGATGGGGTGAGGGTGTGTGGGGTGAGGCGTGTGTGGGGTGAGGCGTGTGTGTGTAGTGTGGGGTGAGGGGTGTGTGGGGTGAGGGGGTGTGGGGTATGTGGGATGAGGGGTGAGGGTGTGTGGGGTGAGGGTATGTGGGGTGTGTGGTGAGGTGTGTGTGGTGAGGGTGTGTAGGTGCGGGTGTGTGAGGTGACGGGGTGTGGGGTGTGTAGTGTGGGTGTGTGGGGTGAAGGAGTGTGTGGGGTGAAGGGGTGTGTGGGGTGAAGGGGTGTGTGGGGTGAGGGTGTGTGGGTGAGGGGTGTGTGGGTGAGGGTGTGTGGGTGTGTGAGGTGAGGGGTGTGTGGGGTGAGGATGTGAGGGTGTGTAGGGTGAGGGTGTGTGTGGGGTGTGGGTTGAGGTGTATGGTTGAGATTTAGTGTACTTCTATCTCTGTAGTTCAACGTGTCCATGTTTCTCACGATATCCACCACTGTTTATCTTTCCGTACAAATGTCCCTGTTTATTCATCGCTTTGCGTCTGTCTCACTGTGTTTCTATTCATCTCTGTGTCTCTCTCCACTTGTCTAACTATAGCTCAATGGCTCTGTGTGTCTCTCTGTTGCTGTATCTGTCCCTTGTTTGTCTCTGTCCTCGTCCGACTGCCTCTGTTTATCCCTCCAGCTCACGGTCTCGCTCTCCGCGCGTCCCTGCATCCCACTACATCGCTATCCTCCTCTGCGAATCTCTCCTAATCTCTTAAGTTTATCTCTACGCCAGTTTATTATATTAATCTCTTGTGTTGCTGTGGTTGAGATTTCGCCCCTCACTCAGGCGAGGCCTCCGCTAGGCCCGCTCCGTCTCCACGTCTCCTCTTCGAACTCCCAACACGACTCTCTTCCTCCTTCGCTCTCGCTCGCTCTCTCGTATTCAGGGGCAGACGAACAACGCCGAGACGGAACAAGCGAACAAACATGCCAGGAGTTTAGAAGGCAGAGAGGAAACAAGAGATGGACGGACGTAGAGACGGGGCAGAGATTGTAGGCCCAACCCCCCACCCTTACCTGGCGCCGCCCGGGTCCGAGGCGAGGCTCATGGGCGGCCGCGTCGCCTCACTCATGCGACCTCGGGGCTCATGGATATCCTGACGACCTCCTTCACGGTCTCCTGGTGTGCGCGTGTGTGCGAGCGTCTCTCCTCCTGCCCCTCCGTCTTCTTCTGCACCTCGTCACGCCTCCTCGTCGCGCCTCCTCATCTCCCGTGACGGAGGAAGCGGCCGTGAGCGGCGGCGGCGGCGGCGGGGGGGACGCAGCGAGCGAACGAGCGACGGAGCGAGCAGGGCCCGTCTCGAGCGGGGTCCGCCTCGGCGCCTCGCGGGAGGTGCAGCGCCCCCCCTAGCGGCGCACGACTCGGGCGGACAGAAGCTACCACCTCCCGGTGTCCACCACCTCCCGGTGTCCACCGTCTCTCTGCTGTCCACCTCCCGGTGTCCACCATCTCTCTACTGTCCACCATCTCTCTACTGTCCACCTCCCGGTGTCCACCTCCCGGTGTCCACCGTCTCTCTGCTGTCCACCTCCCGGTGTCCACCTCCCGGTGTCCACCGTCTCTCTACTGTCCACCTCCCGGTGTCCACCGTCTCTCTACTGTCCACCTCCCGGTGTCCACCTCCCGGTGTCCACCGTCTCTCTGCTATCCACCTTCATATCCACCTCCCGATGTCCACCGTCTCTCTACTGTCCACCTCCCGGTGTCCACCGTCTCTCTGCTGTCCACCTCCCGGTGTCCACCTCCTGGTGTCCACCTCCTGGTGTCCACCGTCTCTCTGCTGTCCACCTTCATATCCACCTCTCGACATCCACCGTCTCTCTACTGTCCACTTTCACATCCACCTCCCAGTGTCCACCGTATCTCTACTGTCCACCTTCATATCCACCTCCCAGTGTCCACCGATGAGTCAGACGCCCATCGGGATGGAGTCATCCTGTTAGGTGACTTGAATGCCCGAGTGGGTCATGACGCAGGCACCTGGGTCGGAAGGCATGGGCCAGATCAGCTCAATAATAACGGAAGGAAGTTGCTGTTCCGGCATCGGCCAACCATACAACATCATGGGATGCACACCGGGTCCAAGCAAGAACATTTGATGGACTATATAAGTATGGACGAGCGGATCGGGGCCCATGTCCTTGACATCAGGACCTACCGTGGAGCTGATCTGCCCACTGACCATCGACTTGTCATCTGTAAGATGCGCCTGCCATTCTTCCACTCCGGTGGTGGGTGTCCATATAGGACCCCATTCAAACCCACAGTGGCTTGCTTGGTCTCAGCTCGCTGAGGATAGTTGCAAGCGGGAATTTCAACATCGATTGCAGCTGGAGTTGGCATCGTCCCCCCTCCTTCTGATGCGGAGGGGAAATGGGTGAGGTTCATGACTGTGGCTCATGCAGCTTCAAGGGCTGAATTGGGTATGCGGTCCAGACCTCCCCAGAGGCTCTGGCTGAAGGAGGAGGTGTTCCGGCTGGTTGAGAGAAAAGAACAGGACCACTCCCGCCGTCTTCAGCATCCAACATCGGAGAATGAGGAGGCTTTCCGCAGCCTTCGCTCGGAGATTCGGAGAGCCGTATGTCGCTATTAGGATGAGTGGTGGGCACGGGTTGCTGAGGATATGGAATGTGCCTCAGTAGCCCGAAATCACTATTTAATTCCATAAAAAGTAACTTGCAGCACATCACCTATCACTATCCTTAAGGGAAAGAACGGCAATCCAATCTCCGACCCCCAGGAACAGGCCTGCAGTTTTGCAGAACATTTTTTTTAGGTCTTGGAGGAGGGGAATTCTCTCAGCCCAGACGACCTCATGGGGCAGAGTGGGGACGACCCTGTTAGGGCTGCAGTGCCTTAATTTGCCATCATTGGACTGCAGAATCAGAATATCCATACTGCAGGAGGAATCCGATGAGCTATAAAGCTCTCTATTTTAGCCCCCCCCCCCAACACCTTCCACTCATTGGCTTCCACATTCAGATAACCCCCTTCCCTCCCCCCTTAAACTTGTATTTAAGAGCTGATACAGTAAATCTATTATTATTTATATTTGTATTTCTTTTACCTACGTGACTTTACCGAAAAACCTAAGAGTATAAAGCTCTTTTTTCACAAATGTCCAGTAGGGGCACGGGGTTAAGAACGTTACAACAACATGAAGTACAAAAACACGGCAGTAGTGCGAGCACAAGCAAGGTAAACAATCACCCAAACACATCTGCAGGATCGATACAAGTTCGGCCTTGGTGAGTTTTGACATTCGGGCAGGCGCGGTTCGTGGCCACTCGGGGGCGTTGGGGCACCACCCCACCAAGCAGCTGGAGCTGAGAAATTATTTTTCCAAAAAAATATACTTCTCTATAAATTGTTTCGTTGTGTTTAACATTATTTTTTTTTATATGATTATTTCAACGTGAATTGCCTAATGAAGATAACATTTTAAGTTGTTCACTTGATAAACCCCTGCAACAATCTGATGCGCGCTGCCTCGGGGTGGGAGGTCTCGGGGCGTCTGTGAAGGCGACCCCCGAGCGAGAGATTCCCATTGGCTCGTGGCGATGATCTCCGCGTGGAGCCACGTCACTCGAGACCCATCAGAGCCGTGACGTCACAACGCGAAGTTGCGCTGTGCAGATCGAGCAGCTCACGGGCCACGCGCTCTGGGAGGAAACAGCAACTTAGCGATAGCAGCAGACGAAGCATTAGCCACGGACGCTGTTGAGTCGCTCCTAAATATTCCATTTGAAAGGATGAAAGGGTTGCTGTAGTGTGGGCTTGAGGGTCATGGGAACAGCATTTGATTGCTTTGTTTCGTATTGTTTATAAACGCCTACCGTTGGTAGATAAGGCAGTTGTGTATCACTTTCACGGGAAGGCCAATGAACACGACGAGGTTTTTCTTAATTAGAACACCATCCTTTCAGAGGTCACTCACAACAGCCCCAACAAGTGGACATGTCACGGGCCGCCGCCGCTGGAGTTCGAGACGTATTTGTTGCGATTTCTCCATTGGCAGAGCGCCGACGGCAGTGGTTGACTATACGGTCCATGGTTTTGAGAGGGGCTGCATGGACGGTCGCGCTGTGGTCTGCCTTATATTTACCATTCATGGAAATTTGTGCATCGGCTTGTTGATGTTGTGATGTGGTTGATGGTTCCACCCGTGGAATGCTTAGGCAATGAGGTTGCGATGTTTGGGGTCTCGAGCGAGGCGTTGTTATTCTGTCCGGTCCGCATTGTTACCACTCTGTTCACCAGCGGTCTTCCCGGATCTGGGTCGAGATTCCGGGATGGCGAGACAGCTCATTCCCAGAAGTGGGGGGGGTTCATTGTCGAGGTCTTGGTTTATGATGGGTGGGGTGGTTGTCGTTGGCACTAAAACATATAAAATCATTTGCAGTTTGCACGTCTCTGCGGTTATTTGGTGGAGGAACATTCACCATCACAGCCGGGGGGAATGGTCTCGGTTTTATCGTTTCAGTTCGGATCCACAGTGCGTTAGGGGCCGTCCATAAATGACGTCACGCGATTTGAAGCATAAAACATGCTTCAAATCGCTTTAAACTATTGTCATTGTAGTGCGTATTTAATGGGGCGCTGCACTCTGATGTTGTAGGAGAAAACATTGATTAAAAAGTATTTTTAATTAAGTAGAACGTGTTGTCTATATTTATTTAAAGTTGCGCATTGTGATGTGACGTCACATTTCTCAACCCCCCTTAGGTGCGTGACGTCATTTATGGACGGCCCCTTATTTGTGCACCTAGCAGCTTTGTATCTGAGCGAGACTGCGGTAGTTCGTAGAACATCAGTCGAGGTACCCCAGAGGTCGTTGCTGCAGGTTTCTAAGCTACTCACGTTCATGAAATGAGAAATGTTTAAGTTAAGCAATTTGAGTTAGCAGTGGCTATGAACACATGGATTAGAGAACGTTTGCAAGTTAGGGGCATCTTATGGAGTGTTCAGAAAGGTAAGTGGACTTGGCCCGTGATCTCATTACTTAACTGACAAGACTTTCTAGTAGCAAACGTAGCATGTGCTACGGGCCCCCAACTTTCAAGGACCCGGCATTAAATGATTTCAAGCTATCAATTCCGATTCAGTGAATCTGCACTTGCTCTATTACTATAGTACTATACTGCCTTCAACTTTTATGAAGGACTGGGCATTTAAGGTTAGCGATTTGTTGTATTATCCGGCTGTATAGCAAATGAAAAAATACAATTACTTTACTATGCAAGTAAAAAATCTGTTTCAATGTGTTTATGTATTTATGGTCCCTTTATAACATATGCTACAGGCCCCGCAATCGCTTAATCCGGCACGGGGGGGTGGAGTCTCACCTGTTCCATGTGGCGCTAAACGGGAGGCAACGGGCGGAGCGGAGCTTGATGGTGGCATCATCATCCGCGTCACACTGGGCGTGGCTGGAGGGGGGTTTCCTAACTTCGGGAGGCAGGCTGTTTGGAGCAGCTACCATTTATTTTTGAAGGGTTCCAAGTAATAAACCACAGAAAAAGTAGTCGATTGTAAGGTTCGGTAAAATAATTGAATAATCATCCCAGCTCAAGTTTATTTACAACATCCACTTTGTGTATTCCTCCACTCGGACACGGGCACGCGGCGAAACTAGCTCGATAACTTTATTACTGTTGAATTAAGCGGTACATTACTTCCAAAGATACCTTCACAAGCACACAAGAGCGTAGTAATGTATTCAGCGAGCGTTAGCTGGGGGGGGGGGGGGGGGGAATTCGTTTACATTGCGGACTAACATCTCTATGTTGCCCGCATCAACACGATTTTTAAGAATACAAGTTTGCCATTTTATTATCATATATAGCTATCGTACATACACCATCATCATAAAGCAGATTTTGTGAACCATTCCCACGGCCATTCTGCCAACAAAGGAGTGGGTGTCCTGTGGTTCTTTCATCGGAGTGTATGGAGAAGGGGCGGCACAAGTTCGGGCACGCTAATGAGCAAACGCCGCCATCGCCAGCCACCTTGTCCACCACAATGCCATCAAAGCGCATTCACTCCCATGCCAATCACTGAGCGTCGTGGGTGTCCAGACACCCCACAACACTTTTAAATATGGCAAAGACACCCGCAAAATATTGTGCCCCTGGTCAGCACACACAGACACAAGAGCACACAAACTCAGTCAGCACACACGTGTGGTCAACACACATTCACACAACAACGCACAGCCGGCACACATGTACGGTCAGTGCACAGTCAGCACAACAGACATTTACTCGGTACAGTGATTCAGTCGGCACACACATTCACTCACACAGATTCAGTCGACTCGCACACGCACACACGACAGATACCGCCAGCTTCCAAAGTGTTGCTGCGCCCTTGATTCCACCAACCACAACAGTACAGCATGGTACAGGTTGCACAGGCAGGTCCCCCTACCAGGCAGCACGCGCACAAACACACTCTCTTTGCCGATTGCACTGGGTAATGCTGTGACCGTTTGCACAGCGAAGTCCACCAGGGAGTACGACGTTTTCCATTGCACTGGTATAACCGGGCACACCCTACGCGCAAGACACAATAGGGTCCACCCCGCTGCGGGAAGAAGTTTTTGGGATACACAGGCCAAGTCCACCAAGAGGAATCCCTCCAGCTGAGAGAATCCAGGCCCTCTTATGTGGCGACTGGGTGTCAGGCGATTACAACCCGAAAAAGACCGAGTCTACGAAGTCCTCGGCCACCAACAACACGCAGTACATGTCGCATATCCAACCGTCACGTATCATCCACCACGACCAATTCACAGCCCAAAACCCAGTGCCGAACTGCAGCATGGCGCGTCAATTTTTATAGATGGTCACAAATCCAACCTTTTTTTGCGCGAGGTCATCTCGCAAAATTTTGCTCACTTTTAAAGCGCAGTAAAAGCAATTTCCCGACAGTTAAAAGCAGTTTGGGCTGCACTTTTTTGTCCAGTGACCTACCTGTGCACGATGGTGTAAACTGTGGTTTACTATAGACATTCACATATCCGACTTTTTCACATATCTGCCCATACCTCCGTCCCAAGCGAGTCGGATAAGCGACGTTATACTGCCTACCTCTATCACAGTACTAGGCAATACGGCAATGTGTGAGCGACTTGGCACGGGTGTTTGGGAGCTAAAACTGCGTCAAACCCTGCCTTGCATCGTTTTCACAGTTGAAAATAAAAATTATTCCGCTGTGGAATTTCCCAGCAAAAAAAAAGAACAAGCTATTTGAACAACACAGGGCACAAAAAAATACAAAACTGAAACGAGGCTGCACAAAACGGTCTAGTTTTTTGTAAAATAGTTATTTGTAAAATAACTAGTCATGTAAAACAACGAGCCGTGTAAAAGAACTTGCCATTCTTATTAAGTTCACAGCATCAAAAGCATCAACCCCCCCCCCCCCAACCCTGCCATCAGTTCCATTTGATCACAGCTTAACAAATATATCTCTGTGAATACAAATAACATATCTGGTTTTACAAAGAAACACGAAAACGGAATATATTTGAAACCACCCTTACACAGTCACTCGCATTACAAGAACAGCAGCAACAACAGCAGCAGCATGGTCCCATCACGGAGACTCCGGCAAAAAATCCATCTGTACTGGCGGCTGTGATGCATGCTGGGAGTGCTCATCTGGCAGGGCTCCAAGTATCGTTGGGGCGGTTGCCACCACGGCCTGCGTGTCCGTGCTGCTTGCCGTCTGCATGATCTTCTGCCGCACCTCGCGGATCTTGAGTTGCAGGCAGGACTTGGTTGGGAAGATCTCGGCGTGCTTCAGCTGGAAGGCGGACGTGGCGTGCGCTGAGCAAGAAGGGAAGGGAATTACGAGAGGGAACGTCAAAAGTTGGGTCCATGATCGCAAACACAAACCGCAAATAAGCCATTCAATCATTGTCTGTATATTGAGCCTTTTTCACACCGTATGAGTCAACGATGCTAAGCGGAGGTACAATAACCTCAACACAAAAAGCACACAGATATCATCTTGCAGACGTGCTTCTCATCATTTGCAGAAAGCATTGGGGGGTTGTGTTCCTTACCAAACTGTTCCCACAGTGATCAGGCAAGGCTTGTCCACCTGACACCCCGAAACCACATGGCAGCAGTCGGCAATGATGGCTATGCTGGACAGGGGCATCACTCGATTTGCAAACGTTCGGTTTACAAAATGTCGCGTTAACGCAATTGAAAACATTTTGTATACTTTTCGATGTACGAAATATAATTTCCGCTTTAACGAAATGTCACACGGTACGGGCCATGAGATCAAACAAGAATCACCAGGGTGGCTGCGTCATCCATCTGTGACAGCATCACTGTGTCCATACAGTGCAACAGTAACGCCTCCACATTGCAGTTCCAGTTATTCCAACATTAAGATATTTCGGTGAATTCCCTGTCTTGTGAAAAGTGGTATAGGTAGATATTATTAAGTTAGGAGTAGAGTTGGAATGACTGTCCAAAACACATCCCTAATTTTTGTATTAAATAGGAAAGGCCATTTCGATTTACGAGTGTTTAAGAACACATCCCTTTTATAAATCGAGGGGTACCTGTGCTGATCATTTCTAAGATAAAACGCGCTATAGACTCGTCTCGTTGGCCAGCTGCTGCTGCCACCAATATGGCCACAAATTTTACACGGCTGACTAAAACAACGAAACGTGCAATGTGGTGACGTCACTTGATGTGCAAGGCATGATGGGAGGAGAGATTTTGTTCCTCTTCGCACATTTCACCATCAAGATATCACCTTTTGTGTGAATTATCAAATTTGCAGATGCGACCGACACAAATACGCCCGATGGGCACACAAACAGCAATTATGAGGACAAGGTGCTAAAGCAGCCGTGCGATCTCGTAGGCGAACAAAAAGCTAACGCTGGCACCTCAAACGGGAACCACTGCATACTACAAAAGACACGCGATTCCACGCCGCGCTTCCGTGTAGATGGGCGGCATTACACCCCGTTCATTGTAAACCGTGTTTTTGTATCTCCTATTTGGGTGTTTGCATCGTTTGTTGTTGTAACGTTCCGACTCCGTGTTCCTTCTGGACATCTGTGAGAAAAGAGCCTTAAAACTCATCGGATTCCTCCTCCAGTATAAATACATTTTACGATTCTGATCGCCATCCACACTCAATGTGTTCACGTCACACACTGGCGCCACAGACCTAAATATATATATATTTTTAAATTTTGATTCTGAAATGTCAGCTGCTTCCCTTGACACACCACCAAACCTGTAATTTGACACCAGATAGGTCCTTGGCTACTAATTAACAAGGCAGCACTATGCAGTTTGGACAGAAGCCAAACGAATAGCTGAGCACCCAGCCCTCTTGACCCACCACCCATGGTGGCTACGCCTCTCGTCGCCAGTCTCTGCAACGCCGCATGCTTCCGATTGGTAGTCAGATCCCACGCGACGTAGAGCTACTGCGAATCCTGCCTTCATTATGTAATCGTGTAGTATTTATGTAATCCTGTTTCACTTGCCTCTCCCTGCAAGTACATTGTTTAGAGATGCGGTTGCATTTTAGACGCTACACAAATCCACATTGTATTGTTTTGACTCAGACAGACACCCATATGCCAACGAGAGTGCTCTGTGTATAAAATAATTATGCCCACTTTTTATGGCCAGGTAGCTCAGCAGTAAAGCTAGCAAGCCAATGTTTGCAGTCTAAAACCTCGGTCGGGGGTTGACTCAGCCCATCATCCCTCCAGGGTCGATATAATCCTAACCACTTTGTGGAGAAGTCAACAGTCGTCCTATGTATAGACTCTCCCCCACCATAAGGTGGTGGAATTCCACCGTTGGCTCAGGGCTGCAAACAGGAGATGAACACCAACGCAAAGCTGGGCAGGAAATCACTTTGCCTGTTTCCGAACGTCGTCTTTAGATGAGGTCCCATTTGGATGCGATGTGATTCCACACTGTTGTATTCATTGACTTACATAAGAGACCCAGTTGCCCACATTGAGACCCGTGGACTTGCATAGAGAATTGCGAGTGCCTCGCTCGCTTTCTGCTTGTGTACGTCTCGTTGAGATGCGAGTGCACGCGGGGTGCTGTGCTGTGCGTCGCACCGGAGGGGAAGAAGCCGTGCTCGTGGAAGAGCTGCATGACGAGGGCGCGCCGCGTGTCCAGCGTGCGACGCAGTGACGAGTATGCCGTCTTGTCCTGGTCCAGGTCCCCACCGCCCTCCGAGCCCTCCGAGCCTTGCGATCCTGGCATCGCGGGTGACATACACACACACACACAATGATAATGACAAAGGTCCTCCCGTGTAGCCTACACAGAATGTTTGGGCAAGTGCTGTTAGCGAGCACCTATTTAAGGTCAGCATGGTGCACGAGGGGGTGGGCGGCAAGTACCACGAATGGCCGCTTTTGTTTCCCCGGTACCGGTCCCAGTGTAAGACCCACATGCGAGCACGCACACACACGCATACAAACCATGCATGCACGTGCGGGCACAAGTTAAACCCAAGGCACGTGTCATCCCCGTGCAGTTAAATGCATTCAAATCTTTCGCCCTGCCAAAGTAAAACCTCTTGAAGGTGGACTATGAATTCCACACAACAGATAAGTACAGGGCTTTAGAACTGCTAGTGTATATAAATGCATGCCATGATTCTGCCACGTGGAGCTTAATTAGTGCAGGAGCCATGTGCCGGTTGAAGTTTTTGTTTTTTTATTTGCAGAATTATTTAGGGAGGTCGTCCGGTTTTAGCCAAAATTCTGGCTTACTCACGTCTGGTTTAAAGAGGTTTTACTGTACTAAGGAAGTAAGCAGGGCTGAGACTGGACAAACGACCGCCCTGCGCGAACCGGTTTGCACAGGGCTTGAAGTGGGCAGCAGAGGGCAGTGCAGCCCAATCCAATGTCACTTCAACACTGGGAGTGTCAGTGCTCCCCCCACCTTCCCCGACCCGCATTGACCAGCATGGTGAAGTAGGGCCATACGTGTAACCCGTAGCCATAGGCGTGATGGGGAAAACCTGGGGAACCTATTGAGGTTTTTGGTAAAGTGGAAGGAAAAATTTACAGAGGTAGAGAGCCTGATATGGACAGGGAATTATAATGCGATGGACAGTAAATAAATGTTATAGCAATCGAGAGTGGAGTAGCTTCAGCATCAGGGTACGAATACTCTCACATTGGGTATTCGTGCCCCTGTAGGACAAGGAAGGTGCTGCTGTGTTCCACACAGTCTGCAGGAGTTTCACAGTAGGGGGCGACATTAATGTGTTTTTTTAACCGAATCATTTTACGGTCTCGTTTTCAAATTTGCCCAAATTTGGAGTGTGACGCTGGCACACGATGGCCGACTCTTTTCGAATAACGTCAAGGGATCTTTAACGTCCACAGTGAAAGCAGACGGAGCATATCGTTGGGGTTGATACAATCAGTGGCTGATTCGTACTCTCGTGCACATACAAACGCACATGTGCAGCACACACGGACAAAGATCCCCTGTGAAGCCTTAACAGACAGTTGAGGAAAGTGGTGTTAGCGATCAACAATGAAGGGCATCACTGTGGCACACAAGGGGGTACCCACCCCAGCACCATGCCCGGGCACCTTTGTCTCCCCAGTAACGATGTTTACACACCGCACCAGGTACTCAACTGAAGCCGAGTCGACCTAAGGGAGGCCCAGGGCCAGTTAATATGATCAGCACTGCTGTTAGCCATGAGCGGGAATCGAACTCGGGTCGCCGGGTTCGTAACGCAGCGTGCTAACTGCTACACCATCGCTCCCCATACATGCATACACACACATACACACGCACGCGCGCATACCCGTGCGGTGGCTGGCCGCCTCGGCCAGCATGTCGAGCCCCGTGCCGGGCCGGTCGAACAGGAAGACATCTCCCTCGCATCGGCCTCCTTCTCCCGCCCTCTTGGGCGTCCCCGGAGCCCCCTCAGTCCCCCTTTTCGGGGTGCCAGGGCCCCCGTCCGGCACCCTTTTAGGGGTTCCAGGACCCCCTTCGGCGATCCGTTTGGGTGTTCCGGGCTCAGAGCTGCAGCTGGAGCGCTGTCTCTGGCGACGGCGAGGTGACCCGCATTCCTCTCCTGGCCCCTCCAGGTCTGCGGCACACAAAGATCCTCCACTGTAGCCTACATAGACTGCTGGGGCAGGTGCTGTTAAGGCCGTCATGGCACACGAGGGGGGCTGGGTGGTCAAAACAACGCAAGGCCGTGAGAAAGCATTGGTCTCAAGTCTCCGAGTTTATATTGCAGTGCACCAACCACTGCTCCACCATTTGAAAAAAATTACTAACAACTAAATTACAAAAGTAAATCCTCACTCCAGCAACCAATTCTAACAACTGCAATACCACTTCTCAAAGACAAAGATCCCCTGTATAACCTTAAAATACTTTTGGGCCAAGTGCTGTTAACGAGCACCTATGAAGGCTGGCACAGCACACGAGGGGGTGGGTGGCCACTGTTATTGGTCGACCTCGAGAAGGCCCAGGACCGGTTCAAATATTCGCCACCATTCGTGAGCGGTCCACCAACCACTGCGCCACCGCCCTCCCACACCGCTGCCCACCGTACACACGTACACACATGTGCGCAGTCCTTGACGCGCGCATACCCGTGGAGTTGCGGCGCTTGCGGCGGTAGCTGGAGAGGATGGCGCGTGGCGACGTGGTGAGCGCGTGCAGCGTGGGCGACGGCAGAGCCTCGTCCGGGCGGAACTCGGGTAACTCCGCGAAGCGACCCTCAAAGTCGACCTCCGACAGGACCCTGAATGGAAATGGAGAGCGCAGCCACCGCGACGCAGGCATGTAGCCGGCACATAGCGCGTGGCGCTTCTATTTGTTTGCTTGCATTTTAAATATTTCACCTGGATAATCACTTGGAATGCAACGTCTCATTTGTGGGGATGTCCAGGGTGTCGATTAAAAGGTACATTGGACCAGGGTTGCCACCTCTGAGATGCACAAAATCGGGACACATCATGGAAATGAAACGAATCTCTCGCAATTCTAGAAGCAGGGAGAACAGCATGTAAATGCGTTCTCTTTTGTGGTTTGTTATTATGATTACGCAACTGACAAAAAACGGTGCTTGTAATGTTCCGGGAAGATATAAGAGATTTCCCAGAACAGCGGCTACCTCAAACAGGAAGCATTGCCCTGGGAAAACCAGGACAGGTGGCAACCCTCGATGCGATGCATTCTCTGCAGCACATTGCGGTGAAGCCTGCACGGAACGCGGCAGCAGAAGGTGCCGTAGGGTAGAGCATGGGTGGGAAGCCCTGCTGGGGTGCTCAATTAGACTTTCAGATAACCACTGGCGGGCAACCACACATCACACACCCTAGGGTTCTATAATTACACAGTAGGGGCTGGATATAAGCATGCCCCTTGGGAGCAAAACCACCTGCGCTTTTATCCGAAGTTGCGTGTTCGTATCAAAAGTTGCCCATCAACCTTCCTCCGCACCAGTGTGAGGTGCAATTACATATCTAGCTTTTGCTGTAACCGGAAGAAAATTAGGGGTCATCTTTACAGGTGACCCGAGCATGCTGAAATTATAAACACACGGCGTCATTGCCAAGTCAAAACGTATTCCCCCCCATCGAGTACCCGATTAGTGCGGCTACGATGCTCGCAGTAGGAGGGACGATAATCATTCGAGGGCCGTTCATAAACCTTTCCCCTTTAGAGGTAAACACGCTTTTGATGCTGGCGGGCGCGTGACCCGGCGCAGACGCCGGGAGTGAGCAGAGCGCGACGCTTACTGGTCCACCGAGTCAAAGGCTCGCTTCAATGGGGGCGGCTTGACCTTCACTCTTTTTGAGGGGCTCTCTTTTTTCTCCGGGGGAGTGTCCGCAGCGCTGCCCGCCGTTCGCGCCGTCTCGCTCGCCGGCCGGGGGCTCTGCGAGGCGGCTTTGAAGCCCGCTGACGCTGCCTGCTCCAGCTGGGGGGGCGCAGGAAATCACACGCCCACACACACACACGCGCGCACACACACACACACACGTGCACACGCACAAACCAGCACACACAGGCATACGCAGAGGTGGTTACCTATGTACCCCTATTTCCACCGTACAACCGTGCCACACTGAAGATGTCACACGCAACGAACGAGTCGAGTAGCAATGCATGGCGACGATGATTAACCGCGCCCCCTGATCCTGCCACATCAGATGTGTTGTGTCGCCGTCGAATTCGGTAAAAAAACGTGAATACGAGACGGTGGTCCTTAATAAAGTCACGAAGCAGTCCTTAAATAGCCGCATGCTGCTCCGGAGCCACGGGATGCCGATCCCTGGACGAGTACACGGACGCATGAGTACACGCACAGAGCCAGCAAGTCCTTGCCTGCTGCAGCTCTCCTCCTCCTGCCCCCACCCCTCCGTCCTGCGTCTCGCCGCTCTCCTCCTGCCCGGTGGCCTCCTGCCTGGGCTCGGCGCCACCGTCCGCGGGAACGAGCTGGGCCGCGCCGTCAGCCGCGGCGGCCTGCGCCGGATTGACGCACGACTGCGCCCCCTCTTGGCTTCTAGCAGAAGACGTTGCCGTCGACGAAGAGCTCTGGGATAACTCCTGCCCGGTTTTCGCTTCGGGAGATGGGAGCGCCGACGTAGCGGCGGCGGCGGAGAGCGAGTCGGGCGGATTTGGAGCGAGCGGCGGATGGACCGGGTCACCGTCCGCAACGTGCGGAGACGCGGCGCTCGGAGAGCGGGGGTCGCACGACGTGGCTGCCGGGACGTCGGGGGGCCACACGGGGACGGTGGCGAGGGACGTGCGCACGCGGGTGCCGCGCCGGGGTGGCGGACACAGCACCAAGCCGGTGCCGCTTGGGTGGATGGCACCTGCAGGCAGACACAGATTCAGGCACCCAGAGAAGCGCCAACAATGCAGTGCCGCCTGCAGATCGAACAGCGGCCGGACTTCCCTACTGCTGGCTCTGGACCCGGTCGAGGAGGCCTTTCACTGTGGTCCACAGGCGGTGATCAGATAGACATGGGGGCGCAACAAACAACCACCATTGGTCACAGGTGAGGTTGTCACCTTTAATCTAGTGGAAAAATATAGTTCACAGTGTGCCGTGTGCAGCAGAGTAGTGGCACAACTCGCATTAAATCAGCATGCATGCTCACAAGACCGGAACTATAGGTTTAGCTGCATGCACTGCAGCTCACACATGGCCAGTGTTCACCAGACAGGTCACCGAGCCTTACACGGTCCAACCACCCGCTTGTTTCACGGGAGAGTGGGTTCTGAGCGCGAATGTGGAAGTGTGTTTAGTGAAGTCGTGCGAGGGGAAGTTGTGTGGCCGCGCGAGTGGCTGTGTGAGTATGCTGCGGCAATATCTATGTGCTTGGCTGTGTTTTTAGTAGCAACCCATGGCTCACCTGGGCACTTAGACCCAGCACTTGAAACCGAACTGGTAGCTTCTCCAAGCGTTGCACAGGTCCGCAGTGACACACACTGCTCCACGGCTAATGCGCCTTGCGGTAACGACGGCGGCTGGTTCTGCTGCTGATGCTGCTGGTGCTGCTGCGCCTCCGAGCTCCGGAAAGTAGACAGCTGCACGCCCTCCACGTCCCCCGACACCGGCAAAGTGTTCGTCGACAGCGCCTCGCTTGACATCGGCAAGCGACTGTGTGCTCCCTCCTCCACCTGCGAGTTTCCATTTGCAGCTCCTCTGTCTAAAGTCACGGGCAGCGTCGCGCTCGGGGTAGCCTTCACCTGCAACTGGAACAGCTCGGGCCGCGCAAACACAGCGGCCGGAGCGGTGGCGGCGACCTTGTCTTCCTGCTCCGCACCCCCTTCTCTCGTGGCCCTCGTCAAGGAGACGAGAGAGGCCTTCCCGATTCCGTTCCCGTCGGGCGAACTGCGTGTCCGCAAAGCGCCTGGCAGCTGGAGGGCGTCCCTTCTCTCCATGAGCACGCTGGCCCGCTCGGCGGCAGCGGCGGCACTCGCCTCGCTCTGCCCGTCCGCGAGACACGCACCGCCTCTCTCGGCGGGCCCCACGCGCCAGCCCTCGTGCCCGTCGCACACCACCCTCGCCCGCTCCAGGACGTTGCTGACGACGGTCGGTCTGTCGAAGGAATACAGCGCCAACTTGGGCCGCTGGAGGACGTTCACCAGGATGCTCGGCCGCTCGCCCGCACCCACGCCGCTCCCGCCGCCGGCGGGGGCGCCGGCACCGCCGGGCGCGCTTACGCCGGTCCTGGACAAATCCATTTGCCTGACGAGCGTCAAACAATCCTGCGGGCGAACCCCGCTCAGCATCACGGCGCAGGGGAAGGAGCCGACCGGGGCCTGCCCCGTCCCTTCCGCCGCCGCTGCCGCCACGGCAGCCGCCGCCTGCGCCGCCGCCTGCCCCCTCCCCGGGGTCGGCTCCGACGGCCCGCAGGGAGGAGGGGCGCCGGCGAGGTGCGCGTCGCCCCACGACACGCGCATGGCCGCGGCGGAGCTCGCGACGTGCAGGCGCGACGGCGCGTCGGCGGGGGAGCGGCCGCCCCCCCTCTCTCGCTCCTGCGCGCCCCCCGCGACGCCGTGCGGGACGGGACCCCCCCCAATCCCCTGATCCGTGGCCTCGCCGGGTCGCCCCCCTTCCTTGTCGCAGGCCGGAGCGGCGTGCGCGTGATCGCCGCCGTGCTCCGGCCGCTCCGCCGCCTCCCTGTCCGGATGCTCTGCGAGCAGAGCGAGGCCTCCGCTGTCAGCGCAACCATCTGCAGCCGGAAGATGGCGAGCGCTGACTCAGTACGATCGCAATGCAACGTATTGAGATGCGGTCATATTCAAAAGACCTATAAATCTGCATTTCATTGTAAAATAAGCGTGGCGGCTATGAACTACGAGTACAGAATCAGAATATGTATTTATACTGGAGTAGGGTGCCTAAGAATGTTACTACAATACAAAAACACGATAGCAGTGCAAAGTAGAGGAAAGGTAAACAAATAACTTAAAAATATATAAAAAAACTATTATTTTTATCTTTCCAGATAAAGCCCACTGAGGCATTAACTTATTTTTCAGAAGTGACCTGTCGCAATTCAGGATTGCGATTCGATTCGATCATCAATTATTATGCATTCATGTTGGTGAACGTAGCAGCCTCTTGTGGCTGCAGAAGTCAAGTTAACTCTTACATTTTTACAGCCCTTTACCATTTCGGTGATGGGGGTTGTTTGACCATACTTCACCATGTTGGTCAGAGCAGGTTTGCTAAAAAGGGGTGACCCAGGACCGATTGAGAGGTCACTCAGCACTGAGTGACATCTGAATCACCCTCAACCAAACTGCGTAAGTGGTCAAAATAATAAATACAAGTTAAAAATAGCAGATTTTTTTTGCAAAAGTGTAATGTAATCTGTACACACTTTGCACGGCTCGCTGAACAAATAAGCATGTTTAATTCACCTTCAGAATGTCACCGAATACACAACCTGCAGCCGCTCTTGCCTAACGTCAGATCGGGTTGAGCAGCACTAATGGAAGATGGAAACATGGCCCTTGCTGCAGATCAATGTGAAATGGGCAACAATCGATTTATAAATGTATGTGGGACCCTCTCCCCCACTCTGCTTCCCCCTCCCCCACTCTCCTTCCCCCTCCCCTTCCCTGTCACGTACTCCTTCCTTCTCCCCCACTGTCCCATTCTCCATCTTCTCCCCCACTCTCATTTCCCCTTCCTCCCACTCTCCTTCTCTCTCCCCTACTCGCCCACTCTCCCCTTCCCTCTCCACCACCCTCCTCCTCTCTCCCTTGCTCTCACATTCTCATTCCCTCTCCAACACTCTCCTCCATTCCCATTTTCCCCCACTCTCTCCCATCTCCATCTCCCCCCCCCACTCTACTTCCCTCTTCTCCATTCTCCGCCCCACACCAACCCCACCTCCCATATCGTTTCCTCTCCACCCACAGGAGGCATCACATCCACAATATGAAATCACCTAGTTGAGTATCCAGCAAGAGGGCCATGAGAAATATGTGGGGTGTCTCTCTCTAGATGGATCACTCTGTGCTATCCCACACCGGCCTTGCCTCTCCTCCCTCTCTCTCCACGCACGAGCTGCACTAACCTGAGGCTGTCATTGAGGAGGTCGCGGCCATCGCGAGAGTCTTGGGGTCAGACCCCGACGATTTCTTCCGCTCCTTGCTGCACCACTTCCAGTCGGGGTGCGCCTTGAAGTGCGCCTCCTTCACCTGGGGAGGAGGGTGGGGTCGGCAGAAGCGGCGCTCACAGGGTGTGCCCACACGCGACACCTCGGCGCGTCGAGTGAAATTCCCGGCCAATCCGACGACGCCATCTCAAGTGAGACGACACACACGTCGGCAATCGTTGCCCCCCCCCCCCTCCCGACTGGCAGACTGACGTCCGCTGGTAGGTGTAAGTCTCGATTAACACAAGAACAGCTGCCAACGGGGGTTCCCTCGGCTGGAACGCAGCAGCGGCAATCGTCGCCCCCGAGTGGCAGACAGATGCCCGCTTCGCAAGCCAGGCATTGAGTCAACTTGTGCAGCACAGGGATGGCCGCCGCCCTTCGAAAGCGTCGAGATGAGATGTTCGTCGTTTATAATAAAGGTGGCCACTGAATTCGAATCGTGAACCTTGGCAACAAGGGGGGACTTGCTCCACTGTTAGGCCATGAGCCCAGCGGCTGCTTGATACTGCAGGTGTCGTAACCAAACACCCACATCGACTGCTTCACAGTGGGATGTTAAAGATTGCAGAGAAGGTCAACGTGTGCCAGCTTCGGGGTCCAAATTTGTAAAAACTTATTCGCCAATTACCCTCTTCGGTAAAATCACACCGCGACATCGGCCCCCCACTGGTCGCCAACTGTACTCGCGAAGTGAATCACAGCACGTTCCTTTCGTGAGAGCCTTGCGCGATCAGGAGGGGGCGCAAGCACCAAACGTACCAAACTATGATGACGACGACAACGATGGTGATGATGATTACCTGCGAGGCAAGGTCGTGGTACTGCTGCTTCTCGCGCGCTCCCAGGGCGTACCACCACTCGCCCAGGATCTTGCTGACCGTGCGGTTGTCCTGGTTGGGGTGACGCTGGTGCACCAGGCCGCGGTGCCGCTTGCTAAAGATCATGAACGCATTCATGGGCCTCCGCACGTGCTCCTTCTCCCTCTGAGCAGGGTCCGGGTCACAGGGCGAGGGTTTAGCGCAACAAGGAGACGACACGCATTTACAAAGTGCTTGCCAAAAATGAACCACAATACCTTGCTGATCTCGTCAAGGAGCTTAAACCATCACACGAACTCCGATCATCCTTGCAGCGGCTTTTGGCTATCCATTGAATATAGACGGTCGCCGCATCTCGTGCTTTCAGATGCGCTTCTACGGCAGTTTGGAATGCTCTTCTTTCCTATATTAGGAAGCCACTGGAGCTATGCCCTTTTAAATCTAGATTGAAAACATTTTTCTTTAGAACTGCTTTTTGTGTTTAGTTTATTGGCCTTCCCCCACACCTCCGATTAGCACAGTTGGCTACGTACGGTGCGAAAGAAGTTCAACAACATACATAATAATAACATACGCATAGACACCAACACCCAGCAATTAGTTGTACCCTTACGCCGCTGGCACGTGCGACTGCTGTGAAAGACGGACCACGGAGCCTAATTTGGCCTCTCGACTCCTGGAGGAGCAGAGCCAAGTTGAGGACCTCGCCAGGGTTGCAAACCGCACCACATCATCATCATCACGTGCCCGATACTGGATAAACGTACGACTGTGGTGGCTGCACCCAAATAGGAGGTTTTACTGGATGTGTAGTAAATATTTTAAAAAATCATCAATTCGTCAATTCAAATTGTTTGTTGCGATCATGATAGACGCATCGAATCATGCGTTTAAAAATCAATTATTCATATTGGACATGTTGTCGCTTCACACACCGTGGTCTGTGGACTGCTAGTATTTCCGCAAGGCCGCGGGGGGAAGTGATCCGGCTGAACTGTTGCAGGTATTTATTTTCACAAAACACAGTGCGGCATCAGCAAAAGTGGCTAATCTGTATTTCGGATTGTATGGTTTGTTTGCATGTATGTATGTATGTTGTCTAAAGAGTCAACCTAAGGAAAGGCACAGGATTGGTTCAGACATTACTCGCCACTGCCATAAGCCGTGGCCTGGAATCTAACCCAGTTCGTCTGGTTCGAGGCAATGCCCTGTACCTTGCGCGAACCCTTGGCCTCCCTTTCTGGGGGGAGCCGGTCCTTGGGCAGAGCTCCCAGCGATTGCGTCCTTCTCTTGACGGCAGCGATGGGGGGTGGGGGAGGCTGAGTGGGGCACGCAGCCGGAAGAAACCTGAGCCGGCGAGAACACACAAGGAGGATGTAGTCTTGCCACGTTTCTCTTTTTTTGACACACGATCGCATGTGGGACCTGGTAGTTGGTGGGCAATGGTGGCGGTAAAGGTTCGGTGGGGTTTTGGGGATAGAGGTGGTGCTTGGTTGGGGTGTTGGGATGATGGTGGTGGTGGAGATTGGGTCCGGTGTTGGGATGGTGGTGTGGGTTGATGGGGTTGTGGGGATGGGCGGTTGTGATTGGGTGAAATGCCAGGATGGTGGCCGTCTAGTGTCCCATTGTGCTGCTGGATTTTCACGCTGCGATTCTCAGAGGATGTCTGTCCGCGAGTGTGTGCACGTGGGTCGTTGTCTATCTTTGGCTCCGTCACATCATTCACTCGTTCTTTTTTCATCTTTTGCTATGTCTTCCCATGTTTCCATGTCTGTCTCTCCACGTGTTTCCCTGTGTGTGCGCGTCTCCGTGTGAGTGTCTCTCCATGAGTCTGTCTCCATACGTCTCCGTGTGCGTCCGTCTCCCCATCCACGTGTTTCTGCGCGCATCTCCGCGTGTCCGTGCGTACGTACGCCTCGTCGTGGTCGCTGTCGCTCTCGCTGTTGATCTCAGTCTCGCGCAGGCCGCAGGGCACGTCGCTATAGTAACGCGGCCTGGTGCTCGCGCCCGAGCCCTGGGCGGGACTAGGAGAAGCTGAGGGCTCCTCGTGGGGGTGTGAAATCCTCTCCTGCTTTGGGGTCGTTTCAGCTACAAACCGACAGAGCATTCACAGTCATTGTTACCATCAGAGCTGGCACAATCAGTCAAGTAAAAGGTAACGGTGCAGTCCTAAAATTGCTAGCTCACACCACTACTGGCTCCATAATCTAACAGAGAGGGTAGTTGTCGAAATACATGACAGTTCACCAGCATTGGTTCAAGCAAGCCCGACTCTGCTGATGAGACAATGCATGTGGAACCCAGTTCAGAGTTTTGTTTACGTTGAACCAATGCTCCTGCAACTACATTCTCCCAGAAGGCCGTGTGGCTGACAGGATGTTTAAAAGACACTTTATTTGTTTTTGGAAGGAGGGACAGATTTGTGAAGGAGGCTTATTGGCCGCATTGTTATTTAGCAGGTCAGAGTTCATTATGCCTCAACTATTGCCGATTTGACCTATAAATATAACTTGCTTACCTCGACTGGACATCTGTGAAAAAGAGTCTCATAGCTCATCGGATTCCTCCAGTCTAAACAGTCGTGAATTAAAGCAGTGGGAAAACAAGATCCAGAGGTCATCGTGGCCAAACCTGTTGATGCCCGCAGCACACCTCGTGAATGCCATCTACCCCCTCTGGCAGATCTTGCAGCTGCCGCTGCTGCACAGTCGACACGAAGCGAGCTACAGATTTACGGCCGCTTTCTCGGACTCCCTCGAAAATGGCGGCCGCCCCCACGTCCTGCCTTCCGAAGGCAGGAAACCCCCAACGAGCCAAGACCAGCGTGACGTGGGCTTATAGCGCCCATCGACCTCACATCCAGCGGCACTAGTGGACAGAGGTGAGACTTTCTTTCCCCAAACTATTATCGTGTTATCCGATTAGTTGAATAAACAAACCGATAATTGGTAAAGAAATCGATTACTTTAATGACGTGACGGCACAGCCCTGCTCGTAACTTTCTCAAGGGGATTTCCGGTCTGCTCTGAGCACATGATCCATTACCAGCATGTCCTGGAGGAAAAAGCTCAAGGCTGTAATCAGCAATTAGCAGCCTTAATTACCCGGTGTGCTCGTGTGGGTGGGCGGGCGGGCGGGCCTGACAACGTACACCTCCCACTGTCCCGCTGGGCTTGCTGTCGCTACAACAACAGCCAGCTATATTTTTAGTTCGGGCAGTTCAATTTTCAAATGAGGTTTAAAAGAGGGGCACCGATCTATCAACAGCGCAGGAACAAAGTGCACTACAGCTCGGAGTGTGATGAAGGCCTCTCCCCCACCCCCCACCAAGCCATCGCCATTCCTTAATGGTCCTGTGATGTAACAATTATCAGAATATCAGAATCAGAAGATGTATTCATACTGGAGGAATCTGATGAGCTATTAAGCTATTTCACCTGCACAAGAGCGGAGTTTATCGCTCCATCTCAATCCTCAGTGGACGACTGCTGGGACACATTCCGTCCCTTTGCTGTCACTCCATCATTTTTCTTAACCCTCGGCCATACGAGTCAACAAATCGATGCAGCACTCAGCCCCTAAGCTCAAACCTTGCAGTGTAAACGATGACTATGGAATACGCACACTCATGAAGGCCACTTCCCATTCAGCCTCCGACCAAATTACCGCAATGCGTCTGGTCTCATCAGACCTCGGAACTACGTGGTGGGATAGTGGTCTAGAAGTGCAGCAAAATACATTATGTACTGTACTCCTATGCCCCCCCACGTATCTCACCTACACCAATTCGCACTGACCATAATGGTGAAGTCCGGTCAAATAAGACCCCACGACCCGCACTACGGTGGGAGAGGGCCTCATCCAGCAGTGAACTGACAGAACGGCTCTACGACGCGTACAACTCCCATTCCATACCCGACACCAGCACGGCAGGGAGAGCTTCCGCAAAGAGCAACTGGAAGCTTTTCAGAGATTGACTTTTTAACATCATGTTCAATCCGAGGAGAGCTGGTGTTAGCACCGACTGCCCGATAATGCTATGCATAAGCATGGAACATTCTCAAATAAATTTCGTCCATGTTTTCATTTCCGTTTTCTTCTCACCCTCCACCCCCGCCAATGTTATCCCGATTGCGCAATAGGCGTCGCGTCGTCATGAGATGAAGACTCCAACCGGATCTCTCAGAGAAGTGCGACGCTTCGTGTCGTAGAACGGCCGACGGCTACTGATATCTTTAATGATACTGGAGGAATCCAATGTGCTATAAAGCTCTTTTTCACAGATCCGTTCAAGTGACCCTCTGGTCCACACACAGTCAGGGGGGCAGCATTTTCCCACCCCCCCCCCCCCCCTCTGATGTTTGAATTCGGAGTTGGAATTTATTCAAGATTAAGTTCAAAAACAAATATTGTGGTGATTTTTGTGCAGTCATTGGTGACCGGGCTGAGACCGTCAAGTCCCAGAAGAAACACGTGTAGAGCTACGCAGACGCAAAAGACAAAGAATCCCCGTATAGCCTTTAACAGAATTTTGGAGCAAGTGCTATTTAGCGAGCACCTATGAAGGGTAGGTGGCCAGCACCACGCCCGACCGCCTTTGTCTCCCCAGTGGTGATGTTTACACACCGCACCAGGTACTCATTTGAGGCCGAGTCGACGCAGGGGAAGCCCAGGATCAGTTTAGATATCCGTCACTGGACTCGGCCGTGAGCGGGAATCAAACTCGTGTGGCCGGGTTCGTAGCGCAGCGGACGCTAATCGCTACACTGCCCCACAAAGTGCAACCAGGAGGGCCCACACAGTGGTCGTGTTTATTCATCTACGAGCAAAGTGTGGGGTGTGGGAGCTGGGCGGCATTGAGACACATGGCGGTGATGATGGGCGGCCTATGACACCCCCCGCCATTAGCCCCCTCCCCCCCCAGTAAACAATGAGCTCATCCTGAGTGCTTGGCAGCCACAGACCCTAGAGCATTGTCTCACTGTGCTGAGATGCATTAGGGCTGGCAGAAAGGTATCTTGTCGATTAGTATTATTTTTTTATTATACAGGGTGGCTCAAAAGTCAGGGCACATAGAGCGATTTCATTTATTTTTACACTGGCATTAAAACATTAAAATTATTAATTCGTTAAGTTAATATTGTATCTATCATTATTAACATGTAATTGTCTTCTTCCTGTGGGGTCACCTCAAATACGTTGTTTACAAAATTCGGCCATGAACCCGGAGTGGACCGATGCATGACATAATTTAGGAATGTTCAAGAATTCCACCCGTAACGTTTAAAAAAATATATCCTCAATTAATTTCAAAAAATAATTCATGCATGCATTAATATTAATGGCAGTCAGTTTGAACATTTGTTAAAATAAATGAAATAACCCTATGTGATTTGTTAAAACAAGGATAACCCCATGTGTCCCCTTTGTAAATCCACTGCTAGACGAGGCCCTCCCCACATCGTGCCGGTCACTGGAGTTGTTTGACCATACTTCACCGTGCTGGTCAGTGCGGGTTGGTGAAGGGAGGGAAAGTGTCACAGGAGCAGTTCAGATGCCGCTCGCCGCTGGAGTTCGTAAACCGTGGCCAGGAATCGAACTCGGGTCACTGGGTTCAAAGCGTCGAGCGATAACCACAGGGGCCACCACTTAACCCCACCTCGTTAATTAACCAGCGAATTCCGAATTCATATCTGGAGGACGAGGGATTAAATGGCGGGGATGTGACAAACATCGATTGTGCGTGTTGGCGTCAGAGTCTAAATTTGCCAACATTTTAATATTACCCGCAAGTTACTTAATTTGGTAAAAACGACATAAGCAACATCTCCCCCGAGTGGAAGACCATAACCACCTGCGAAATACTGCCTTTGTGCTTGAAGAATGGCGATAAGAAAAGGGTGAATACCAAATGTACTCATAATATATGCAGTATTGTCCTCAAATTGCTATCGATCCTAACTTTCTCCACACTCTGCAGAAAAGGCAAAGCTTTCCAGCGTCCACTTCTGAGGACACCAAGTCCTGCACCAGAGCTCCCCGAGGTGTTTTCGGGTTGTACCGCGAACCAATCAGCCAAGGATCGGCAAGACCAGGAACAGCAGCTGCATCAGGCAACATTACATATAATCTAGCGTTGGCAGTGTTGCACAAGCAAAAATAACGAGAGTAAAAAACCTCTCTGGTCTCTATATTTACGTGCTATGAAGAAATATCACATCTTATGTACCCTTCCTTTTACGGCCACGGTGATATTGACGAATGTTTTTAGTTTTTGATATACTCAGGGGATACACCGGAGCTGCTCAACGCATGGTTGGTTTAGTTCTCATTTCTCCCTTCTTCATCGTTAAACTTGTTTTTTATATTGTCGCTTTTGTAATTTTGCTGATCCTCGGTCAGTCACTCTTACAAATGAGACTGATCCTGTTCTCTTGAGTTTGCACACGGTTTAAACAAAGTAAACTTGCAACCTGAAGCTCCCAGCAAGTGCAGCGATAAAAATTGGTTGTCATGCCGAACCGCACCCTGCACGAACCAAAAACTCGTCCGAGGAACAACACAACCGCGAAAAACCCCACGCAGGAGCACAAGCCACTGACCCTCGGGTTGCAGAGAAGAGGAGGGAGGGCTCCCATCTCCGTCGACATCAGCAGCCAGCGAGCCGTGGTCTTGTCCGCCGACGTGGTGCCTTTGCAAGAGGCCATGCTCCGACTGGCCGACTGACTGGTATCTGGGTAGCAAGCCATGCTCCGGTTGGTTGAGGGATTGGTGCGTTCGCACAGGCAGCAAGGACAGCTCTGGCTGGCTGGGGGCCAGGAAGGGCACGAGGGAGTGCCACGGGAACACTGGCACGGCGTGGGGCTCCACGCTGCTCCACACTATGGGGAGGATAAAGGCACGTAGAGAGAGAGGGAGAGGGTGAGAGGTCAGGTGCATATCAGCAGACTAACCAGCTGCAGAAACATCATCAGCAAATGAATCATTGGCATAATCACCATCGCAGATTCATCAGCAGACAAGCTTTCAAATTCGTAAACACACTTGCATTAACACATAAACACACCACATACTCCTAAAAACATAAACTTTAAAAACAAACATCACAAGCGTGTAGGTGTTTGCGGTTGTGCTGCAAGTGTTTTTTAGGTTGTACCGCATTTTGTTCGGCAGACCGTCCATTGTTTCATGGCAAAAACACGTCGTAAAGCTACACAGCACAACCACAAAGACCTACGCAATCACCGTATCCAAAAATATCTTTAAATGCCGTCACCTATCAATACGCACAATTCCTTTTTTTCAACCCTTCACTGACTGCCGAGAATTTTCGGAACGTGTAATTATGTCCCCTATGGGTTTGCAGGGGGAACACACTTGAGGGAGAGAATAAAAACAGGGACCCATCAAACTGGGCCGTGTTTAAAGGGCCAATGAAACCCCCGGTGTGGTCGGGGTGGGGAGGGTCATAGGTCACGGAGACTCACTGAAGCCGTTTTAAATCCGACAGCTCGCCGTCACGGCGGTGCTGCCACTTGTTTTTCCTACGGGCGAGCAATGCGGCGGGCGCCGTTTTTAGCCCCCGTTGTCAGAAACGGAGCCTTGTTTTGGTTGCCCTCATTGTGTTTAGCGGCGGGGATGCGAGGCCTTGGACTGAGGGCGGAAACCGGCGGCTGCCTCGCCTTTCCCGTCCCCGCGGTCGCCCGTGGCTCCCCCCTCCTCCAGGGGCTGACGTTCCAAGAGGAGAAGGAACCGCGAGAGATCGACTCCCATTAATCCAGATTATGGAGCCTTGAAGGCAGTAAACAAGTAGGCCACGGGGTTACACATGAAGTGCGATGTCTTGTGGGATGGAGGATAGCAACGACGACTCAACCGGCACCTCCACCTCGTCTTGTCACGATCGAACCTCAACTCTACCTCGTTATGTCACTAATGAATCCCTTTTTTTGCTATAATCAACAAATGCTCCCCTCTCCTCCAACCTTTCGTTAATATACAATTGCAGATCAGACCATCACATATCCGTTCTGACCAATTTACTGCTCACATCCAGTGCAGTATTTGTGCACGATGGTGGAACTGTAATTTCCTATCGAGGTTAACCTATCAGACCCAATTCCCATATCCACCTGTAACCTCAGTCCCCACCAGCAAGCCGGAAACGCGACTTTGTAACGTCACGTGAAACACAAGTAAACACAGAACTCGTCAACGTCAGGACGCAAGCAGCACATACACGACCCACAGCACACAAATCACAGAGCCCCATGTGAGATATATATACACACGACAATTATAAGGCACAGTGAGCCCACTAAGCCTCGGCCTTGACACAAACGACTCGGCGCTCATAAACAGCACAACAATCAGGAGGCTGGCAGCACACACGTCACAGTGCAGGACATCACATAACCGACTAACCGGGGACTGAGCTACGGGTGGCGATGTGAAAAGGTCAGATAAGTGAACTTCTATATAAACTAACAGTTTCACAACTGTGGACAAACACTGCACTGGGCGTGGTTAAATATGCCAGGGCGGATATACCGATGGTCGGATATGCGACACTGTTATGTACACAAATCAACAGGGAAATGAAATGCACAAATCACTCAAGGCAGAGCTCTCACAGCATACAGCGAGAGCAGAACTGCCTCGCTCGACACAGGACAGTGGCAGCAGACACGTGACTTGCAGCAAACCCACAGAACACGGAAGACAAAGAGCACTGGGGCACATCAGTAGTGCTCAATCAGACACAAACATTGCCGGTACCCACACAGATGTAACACCACGCAAAGATGTGTGTGCGAATTGCATGTACAACATCTGTGAGCCTCCTTCTGACTGCCAACACAAAGAAGTTGAGAAAATGTGGTCATCACAACTTGGGATGGCAACATTTCCTCAACTCTCCGAGTTCGTGGTCTAAGACAACATTGAGCTGGTGGTCTGGACAGGGCTGAGGGGTTTTTTGCACAGCACATGCAATGTCTTGCACCTGTCCGCGTTGCTAAACCTATTTATTTTCCCGGCCAGCTCTGATGTTTATGTTGAGACGGGAGCTTTCCTGTCATTCACACATTTGAAAAACCACAACACGTGCAGAACACAACACTCAAACGCTAGCAGTACACGCCTTAAGACGAACAATGCATGGGTCTAGTAGTAACATCAACAGTTCTGTGCATGGCATCACACGAGACTTTACGCCGAACAGTAAACAACAGCACACATGACACCGCACATGACAGGACACCCGTAACACGACGGCACACGTGGCAGGAAAATCAACAGTACAGCTGGCAGTACAATACAATTACCTGAATGTACACCTTAAATTACGACAACAGAGCACACAACAGTACACAAGACAGTACATATACAACACACCCCCCTGGTATGGTACAATCAACAGGACAGCTGACAGTACATACGGCACACACGACAGTACACATTAGAGCATACACGACAGTCCATCTCGGCAGTATACACAACAATACACTTTACAACATACCCGACAGTACAGACACACAGTACACTTTAGTAACAATCAAAGCAGCGCTCTTAAAATAGAAGTTCCTCTCCACGCCCACCAGAAACGTGCACATCACCACATTCATCAGCAGCAGCAGCACCAACAACAATCAGCACCACAGGCAGTACCCTCAACAGCAATCACCACCACCATTACCACCACCACCACCACCATTATCACCACCACCATTACCACCACCTTCACCACCAAAGACAAAGGTGCCCCGTGTAGCCTTAACATACTGTTAGGGCAAGTGCTGTTAGCGAGCACTTATGAAGGCCGGCACGGCACACGAGGGGGTGGGTGGCCAGCACCACGCACGACCGCCTTTGTCTCCCTAGTGGCGATGTTTACACACCGCACCAGGTACTCATTTGAGGTTGAGTCGACCTAGGGGAGGCCCAGGACCGGTTGAGATAATCGTCACCGGAGTTGTCCGTGAGCGGGAATCGAACCCAAGTGGCCTGGTTCGTAGTGCGGCGCGCTGACCGCCCCACTGCCGATCTCCACCTTCACCAGCAACCATACCACCACAAACAATACCACCACCACCTTCATCAACATCACTACCCACAGCAGCAACACCATCAGTACCATTACCACCATCACTATCTAAATCAGCATCACTAGCAGCACCATAATGAGTACCCCCAACACCGCTTCCATCAGTCCCACTACCACGTGTACCATCGCCACCACCAACATCATCACCACTACCAACATCACCACCACCAGTAACATCGCCACCACCAACATCACCACCATGGACACCTCGATTACCATCACTGCCAGCAACATCACTAACCACAAACATCCTCATCAGCATCACTAGCAGCAACATCATCAAGACCACCTCCATCATGACCATCAGCACCACCACTAGCATCACTACCACAGCATCAACAACATCATCAATACAATCACCACCATCAACATCTCCATGGCCACCACCATCAGTACCACCATCAATACAATCACCACCATCAACATCTCCAAGGCCACCACCATCAGTACCACCATCACCACCCACAGCACCACGCTACGCAGTGAATTTGTGCTCAAGTAAGCAAGCAATGCAAGCAAAAATGGATGGCGGCGACAGGCGACTTTGCGGGAAGGAGTAAGAGAGGAGGAAGATCAGAGGGCGATCAGAGAGAGAGAGGAGAGAGAGAGATTCAAGACCGAGAGAGAGAGCACTGGGGGGGTAGTCCCGGCGGGTGAACGCAGCCGTACCTATCATGTGAATGCCCGGACGCAATGGAGGTGGACCGGGTGGAGATGATGACATTTGTGACAACATCGCGGTGGTGGTGGTGGTGGCGCACCTCCTCCTTCTCCTCCTCCTCGCCTCCTCACCTCCTCTCGGCGTCACACGCGATCGGCCGGCATGACCACCGTGACACCACCACCACCACAATCAACAAAGCCAGGAGGCCTACAGAGGCTTGGTTCTCCCAGCAACAAAACAATATACTTCTCCGCCCTGTCTTCCTCCCGTGTCCACTGCCTGCCTTGTCCGTCTCCCTGCCTGAGAGACAAGAGGCTACTGCTGTTGTGTATATCTCAAGGTGTCCTCGCGGGGGGCCCAGCCGAACAACAGCAACAATAACAAACACGCCACGTGTGTCTACCGCAGCTGCGTGCCACCACAGCTGGAGCGGAGAGATCGGCTTCGACTGCCGCTGCTGCTGCTGCTGAGGAGGTCTTCACTCCTGGAGGTCTTCACTCCTGGAGGTCTTCACTCCTGGAGGAGTGGAAGGGGATGGTGGAGGCGGCCCTGTGAGGCAGGATGAGGAGCCCAGGGCCGAGGCGGCGGTGGTGATGGTGGTGAAGCTCTCCCCCCTGCGGCCAGGCTCGATGCGTCTGTGCGCCCGTGGGCCACCGAGTCTCCCCTTTCCTCTCCCTTTCCTCTCCTCTTGTCTCTCCCCTTCCTCTCCTCTTGTCTCTCCCTTGTCTCTCCCCTTCCTCTCCTCTCTCTTATCCGCTGAGAACTCTCCTGGCCTGGCTCTCCCCCGTCTTAACTCTCCCCTTTGCCTCCTTGCTTGCTTGACTTACTCCCCGCCCCGCTCGCCTCTTGCTTGTGTGTCTCTCTCAGAGGCTGCCTTTGCCTGATGATTGCTGAACTCTCCCTGCCTCTCTCCCTGCCTCTCTCTCTCCCCCTTGCGTCCCCGCCTGTCGCTCCGCTGCTCTCCCCTCGCCACTCTCCCTGAGGCCGCCACTCGCGTCGCTCCCGCACAATGGGCGCCTGGGCCAGGCCGGGAGAGGGGGGGGGCGTGAGCTCAGAGTAGGTGGGCGGGGCCAATAGTGAGGGGCGTGGTTAACAGTGAAGGGCGGGGCTAGTAGTGAGGGGCGTGGTTAGCAGTGAGGGGCGGGGCTCACAGTGCGGTGGGTTCTATGGTAGAATATTCTTAGGTTTTTTCCGGTAAAGTCACGTAGGTAAAAAAATTAAAATGAATACAAGTAAAATAAAATTTTATTTTACTTTTATTCATTTTACTTTTATTTTACTTGTATTCATTTTAATTTTTTTACCTACGTGACTTTACCGGAAAAAACCTAAGAATATGAATCCTTGCAGTCACGAAAGCTTCAAATCTAGAATCTATGGTAAAATATTCTTAGGTTTTTTCCGGTAAAGTCACGTAGGTCAAATTTTTAATTAATAAAAGTAAAATAAAAATAAAATAAAAATCACGACGTTTCGGAGGCAACACAAGCTTCCGTCTTCAGGTGGAACAGTCACAGCACGATAGCTGGTTGAGGGTGGGAGGAGGCAAGGTAGGCCCTGAATATTGTTTTTGTGAGGTTCGGTGCGGCTGAAGCACGCTGTTAGGAACGAGCCTTTGTTGTGTAAACTAGGTGCGGATGATGTAAAGGTGCATGTAAAAGGGACTGAGCCTTTTTGTTATGTAGAGATGATGCGGCTTAAATCGCTGCCAAGAAATTAGTCTCTGTTGTGTAGAATGGTTGACTGAGCCTATTATTATGTAGAGGTGGTGCGGCTTAAATCGCTGCCAGGAATGCTCCAACTATGTGTAGTTAAATATTTTTTGCATGGTTAATAACATCTTTCCAATGTTTCGATTTAAAGCTTTCGTGACTGCAGGGATTCATCTTTTTGTTTTTTTCGGTAAAGTCACGTAGAATGGAAATAATAAAATAATAAAAATAAAACATAATACAATAATTCTCACGACGTTTCGGCCACAACGCAAGCAGCCGTCCTCAGATGAAGAACAGGTCTGTCGGAAAGACAGCGTCTGAATGTCTTTCCGACAGACCTGTTCTTCACCTGAGGACGGCTGCTTGCGTTGTGGCCGAAACGTCGTGAGAATTATTGTATTATGTTTTATTTTTATTATTTTATTATTTCCATTCTACCAAGAAGATTATCTTTCCAATGATTACTAAGTTTGGTAGAAGGCGTGGTCAATATGGACTAGGCGGGGCTACAATGAAGTGGGCGGTGGAGTAGGCGTGGCCGTTGTTGAGGGGCGGGGTGAATAGGCGTGGTCACGCATCAGAGAGGGTGGGGGGGGTCTCAACGCGCGCATGCGCACTGGTGTAGTCGTGTGGCTCGTGGGCCATACTCGGTCTGAGACTTCATTTGGAACGTCTCCGAGGCCACGTGACGAGGCCTCTCGTCTCCAAACTGCCCGCAAAGTGGCGATGTTTATCCATCACCGCAAATCGTCTCATATGTTTTTGAAAGCTTTAAGTCAAGATTTAATATTTTTCAAGTTTAATACTCAAAAGGCCCCATGATTTAAAGTACAAGCTCCCACTCTTATCCACGCCATCTCTCTGGACTATGTGGTGTAAAGAAGGACCATTGCCCCGACACGTCATCTATCAAATTGTTCCTTCTAAGGCTCCTCCTTCCTCCTTGTTTGTCCATCAAAGGTTGATGATGACCATGACACGCTTCGTTGGGATGAGTCTAGGGTAAGGTGAGCGCTCAGTTGGCTGAAGAGGCTAATCTGAGCCCAGAACAAGTTCAAGTTCCTTTATTAGCTATAGCCCTGTGAGCCATTCGGCTCTTGAATCAGGTGCAACCGCAACAAACAAAAACATGAACAAGAAAACATCTTAAAGTGATTATGTGCAAACAGAAAATCCAAGAAAAGAGCAAAATATTGCAGAAAAAGCACCGTACACCAACGCTGTGTGCAAAAATCCCAGTGGGATGCAAGTCAAACAACAACCACAAGACAACTTAGATTAAGGCCATCAGTCTAACTCTGTACTACATCAAACAAACATGGCCAAACCAAATATTTTTTTCGAAAATCACCAAAATAAAGCCATAAAAGCAATGAAACAGTGATCATATGAACTGTCACCGAATTTTCACAATAAACGACGTAACAACATGTACTACCAAACTCTGCAGCCATAGCTGGCTGCATGAGTCACTCCACAACAGCAGGAGCATCAGTCGGAGTATCAACAACACTCTCGACACTCTCACACTGGACACGATGCCTTGGTAGCAGGCTGCCGGCGGACGGGTCTCTTGATACGGGCCTTGCTATTGTCTCTTCACCACAGCATGTTTGGTCCTGCTGGTTTCAGAGGTGGTAGCGCCATCCCAGATGAGATTTCGCCAGGTCGGACGATCCTGAGCAAGGCTTTCCCATGACTGTTGATCTGTATTCAAGCTTTTCAGGGAAGCCTTTGGGGAGTCTTTGTGCTCGCTTCCCATTCTTCAGCTCTCCAAAGAAGATCTGCTGCGGGAGACAAATGGTAGGCATTCTGGTCACATAGCCGGCCCATCTGAGCTGTGCTTTCATAAGGTGTGTGGGAATGATCTTCTTGGTTCTTACGGTAAAGTCACACAGAAGGGAAATAATAAAATAATAAAAATAAAACATAATAAAATAAAATTCTCACGACGTTTCTTCAGATGCTTCAGACACTGTCTTTCCGACAGACCTGTTCTTCACCTGAGGATGGCTGCTTGCGTTGTGGCCGAAACGTCGTGAGAATTGTATTTGATAATGTTTTATTTTTATTATTTTATTATTTCCCTTCTACGTGAAGACTTTACCGAAAGAACCAAGAAGATGAATCCCTGCAGTCACGAAAGCTTTAAATTGTGTGGGAATGCTCGGCATGTCAGCACGGCTGAGGACTTCAGTGTCTGGCATGTTGCCCTGCCACTTTATCCGTGGGAGCTTCCTCAAATATTTTAGGGGGAAGTGATTTGAGTTTCCTGGCATGGTGTTGGTCTACTGTCCAGGTTGTGCAGCCATAAGTTAGAGTTGGTCGTATGACTGCCTGGTAAGCCTTCAGTTTAGTGGCCAGCTTGATGGATGTCCTTCCCCTCACTGAATCTCGCAGACGGTCAAAGACTGCACTATCATTGGCGTTCCTGATGTTTATTTCATCGTTATTGTGAACAGCACGTGACAAAGTGCCACCAAGGTAGGTAGATGAACGTGTCTACAGTTGATAGTTTCTGACATTTTTCACAGAGATAGTTGGGTCCACATAAGAATTACCTTGGGCAGGTTGGTCCATGACTTCAGTTTTCTTTGTACTGGTTGTGAAGCCAAAGTTGTCGCAGGCAGCTGAGAACTGGACCATGAGGGTCTGCAGGTCGGCATGTGAGCCAGAAGCTAATGTGCAGTCATTTGGAGCTTCAGGGTCATCAAACGGTCGTTCATACACCTTGGGCAAGCTTGATGGTTAACCAGATTAGATTTTACTGCAAAATCAACACCAGCGTCGCGTCTCTCCTCTTTTCCACGCCAACTCCCAAATAAGGTGTGACCGGCTGCAACTTCTGCAATCTGTCCCGTGTCAGCTAGCCGGGTCTCACTTAGGGCGGCAATGTCCATTTTGTATCTGGAAAGTTCTCTGCCGATAAGAGCGGTACGTCTCTCAGGTCTTTTTGGTCCAGCTTTGTCCATAAGTCTGCGCACATTCCAAGCACCAATATTAAGCGGTGTGCCTTTGATTTTCTTTGTTCGACCGCTGACGCGGGATCCCTTCCAGCTGTGGTAGGCTGGCCAGGGTAATGTGAAGCAGACAATGTTTAGGGCATCTTTTATAGCCCCTTCCTCGTGCTAGGGAGGTGAACAGTGTGATCCTGATTAGGGCTGCTCAGATGCTCAGGCTGCTGCCGAGTTCCACTGCCGCTTCAGTCCAGTGAAAAGTGACCCGATAACCTGAGCCTGCCCGTGTGTGGGTCCAAGGCTACAGCTCACAGTGCATAAACGCCTGCTGCTTCGTCGTTCATCCCTCGCCACAGGACTTTGGATGACGATGTCATGAATTCTAGATTTGAAGCTTTCGTGACTGCAAGGATTCATCTTCTTGGGTTTTTTCGGTAAAGTCACGTAGGTAAAAAAAATTTAAATTAATAAAAGTAAAATAAAAATAAAATAAATAAAATTTAAATAAAAAATAATGATACAGCGAGCGTGCTGTGACGGTTCCACCTGAAGACGGAGGCTTGTGTTGCCTCCGAAACGTCGTGATTTTTATTTTATTTTTTATTTAAATTTTACTTTTGTTAATTTTAATTTTTTTTAAGGCTACAGTGTTATTGATACATGTGTTGAGTTATTTTGTTATTTATTCTTGCGTGCCACTGTCAACGTAGTATCACCAAATTATTGGATTAACTTTCAGAATTTAGTACGCCCAGCCACATGCCACTGCCTGACAGAAGCAAATGAAGTGCCTTCATGTGCAGCCCGCCAAAGTTATTTTAAAGGCCTATTCGTCCCTTGGAAAGAGGTTCGCTATTCCTAGCCTATTTAAATCCATAACTCTATAACCAAGGCTCTCCATAAACCATATCACACCATCAGGCCAATGCTGTGTGTTGCCAATGAATGGTGAATTATGGATGTTGATTGCCAGCCACGGCTAACATCAGTGGCGGGTGATATCTGAAGCAGGTCTTCACCAACCGGCACTGACCAGCGTGGCGAAGTATGGTCAAATGACCCCTATCCCACGACATCTAAGAGTGCTGTGCATCAATTCAATGTACAGTATATGAATGCACAACACCTAGAATACACGACATTTAGGGTGACATGGTCATGCAGTGGTGACACTTGTGTCACACAGCAAGAGATCCCTGGGTTCGATTCCCTGCTGGGACACCTTAGTATGTGTAGTTTGTGTGTTCTCCCACTGTTCTGCATGAGTTTCCTCTGGGTTCTCAAGTTTCCTCCCATTGCTAAAAAACAACAACATACAATGGAAC